TTGTTATTTTGCGTTTTGTTTTTATAACAGCCATCCTCATGGGTGTGAAGTGGTACTTACTGCATCTATGTTCACAAGAGACTTTGATCTCTTTTTTATAAATGGATTTAAACATTTTGAACAATAAGAAAACAAATGAGAAGCTAAGGATGTCCCTAGGTTTCTTGGCTGCTGTACTGGTTGTGTCATGCAACAGAGAATCCTGGAAGAGCACATTTTAAAGGGTAGGGAGGAAGGAGTTGTAAAAAAAAACGGAAGAAAATGACTTAATACTGGGAAACTTGAGGTCACTGGACTGTGGGCCATCCTGCTGTAGATATATAATTGGCAATTGATAAAACAGTATTAAAGCTTGAGAAATGAGTAAGGAGTAGAAATACGGGTAATGAGTGCCTGCCATGTGTTGAGTACTTTTTATGTGTTTGGGAAAAACCAGACTAAGTGTAGTAGCCGAAGTCACAGAAATGCACGGCTTTTCCTAAAGAGAGAGTGAAATTGAGAAGAGGGGCAAAATTAGAACCTTGAGAACCAAAATTTAAAGACTTGGCAGTAAAGAAGTAGCCAATAGAGACTGAAAAATAGTAATGGAAAATATAAGTGGCAGGAGGGAATAGTATCATGGAAATCAAAGTAGAACATGCTATCAAAAAAGGAGGGACTAATTCTCCAATGTTTAAAGCAATTCCCATTTTTATTTTCCTCTTCTGTCCTCAGCTCCTGAGCATATCCATCTTTGTCATTAATAGTTATCCATTCTTTGTAGACAGAGCAGAACTAGATTAGTAGGGAGAAGAGGATTAACAGACGAAATGGATTTATTATAGTGATAAGGTATGAGCATCCTTTTTTCTAAAATAATTATTTCAGCTCTGACATCCTAAATTAAGCCAGTTTCTTTTACACTTGTAAAAAGTAAAGATTAAGATTTAAAAATGATACATAAATAAAGTTATCATTTTAACTAAAAAATACACCAGGATAAAACTACACATCAGGACAAAACAAAACCCTTAACAGCCAGCGAGAAGTCTTAAAACATTTATTTTAAAAATTAGAATGCACTATATTTACTCACATACATTCCTGTTACCAGATATTTTCAGCAAACAGACATCTTTAAGCATCTTCATCTGCTTTTATCAAACCTTCCAAGTGGATCCTGCTGCTGTTGACAATTACAGCAGCCTGTTGGGGGTAAAGTATGGGGAGAGAAAAATAATCATGTATCCCTCAAAATTCAAAACACTTGAGTGGGCAAAATGTGCATTTGTATGGCATCAATGAAGGCCAAAAGAGTGAAATCATTTCCATAGACACTCTAAAATGAAGAATAACATAAACTCATCATATATGTATTAACTATTAACCAAATATTTTGTATTACTTAAAAGTTCCAAATTCTAGGTTTTTGTGGAATAGCTATTAAACTGATGAATACCTCTTTAAAATGTTAATTACATACATGTAAACATGTGATCTTAGGAAAATGCAGTTATGCATTTACTGGTAATATGGTCAAGAATCTCATGAAATCAAGTGTTGCTGACTTAACATGATTACTCCGACAATAGGAAGAAAACAACAAATGACTTAACCATGTGTGCCTAAATTTTTCTCTCTCCACCCCCTAAAAATCTCTGAATTCAATCAATACCTTTTTATTGGCTCCTGTTTGAATTGTACGAGAAACAGAGATGTAGCGGAGGGGACACAGGCACACACCCATACATTCAGACATATAGCCGCAGTAGGAGAGGCAGTGGGAAGATGGGGGTTGAAGATGTCTAGGTCCTCAGAGATCATTCTAGATGTTACTTCTGGATGTAACTGATGGAAATGAGGAGGGATGGGTAGTAGTGATGGTGGAAAGTCTGTTGGGGAGCCCAGTGTGAACACTGCATGAAAGGCAGCCATGAGCATCTCCAGAGAAATTAGTGAGCAATGCATGTAAAAGGAGGTAGAGTGCAGGTATGCAGTGAAATGCAAAGGTTAGGAAATGGAGTCAGATGGAGAGGTTCTTGCATATAGTACTAAGAATTTTAATTTTTATTGTGTGTAGAAAGGAGCAATTGAAGAGAAGAATATGGGCTGACATGCCCAGAATTGTCTGAAGATGACTGCTACTTGGTGGATTTCTGAGTGAGACAGGCCAGCTATATAAAATGTATTATACTTTTCAATCTTTTTTTTTTAAGTTTGTGTTATACTTTAACGCCTGAATAAACCTTTCCCAATCTTGAAATATGACAAATCAATTAAGACCAGAAAACAAAAATCCCAATAAATACTTCATATCTTCTCTCTTTCACCTGGCATAAATATAATGGCCCCCTTCAAGTCTATGCAATTTAAGATTCTAGAGTTTAATCACTTCACCTTATCAAGAAGTAGAAATCAAGAATCATGGGAAGTGAAGGAAACTGATTATAGTTAGGCTTTGTCAGAGTAGAACCCCAAATCTGATAAAGGTCTTTAGAAACCACACTATCCTTTATCCACATTATCTGGCATTTAATTATATATTTGTTTGGTAATCATTTTTAAGAGTCAATGTTTAACTGGGAAGAAGACAATAGCGCCCCCACCATTTGTTTTTATAACCACAGGTCCTGAGGGAATCTATTTTCATTAATGAAGAAAAACATACAAAACTATTTAAATTGTTAATAAATGGTTGTGCTTAAATCTTTGAAAATAACAGAACAGCATTTTTTTTTTTACATTTCTGAATGTTTACTTTTTCTTAGCAAAGTGAAAGAAATTTCAGACTAGTTTTATGATAAGTTCTTAAAATAATGAAGAGAAAATTAACTGATTCATGCAGTATGTAACTGTAATCAACATTTTTTGAGTACCTAACATCAAAGAAATGCTACTAATGAATAGTGATATATATTATATATATAAAACAAGACATAAAGACATAGTCCTACCCCTAGTCACAATAAAATATACATTTGGAGAACTTGATAAAGACACATTGTTCCTTACTAAAAGCAAATTTAGGAACTATTATCTCTTTATTTAGATATATATGCTAAGTCATTTATAAAGAATAAATAATTATATGACTAAAAGTAAGAATATATTTTTTTTCAACAAGAAAAAAATGATTTGGGAAGAGAAAAAATGTGGAGGTTAAGCAAAAGAAACAGATGTTAAGTGTTATCAATTCTGAAGTGAAGATAAAACCACATATTGAAGTAAGATAATAAGAATGTGAGATTGAAATGGTTAAGTCTTTTAGTATGAACACAAAATTACTGAACTTTTTATTCCTTTTTATTTACTTTTTATTATTTTGAAGAGGAGCAAGATGATTTTAAGTTGGTAAAAGTAAAGCAAAGTTCCAAAATACATGAATGAACATGATTTCCCTGGAAAAGTGTGAAGGTGATGGGCTTATATGTGTTAAATATACAGGATTTGGTCAGAGTATGAGGGTCTTAATGTTCAAACTAAAGCATGGTGTCTCCATTTTAAAATTTATGCTAAAGGCAACTGAAGTTAACATGAATAAGACAACAAATTCCATAAAGAAAAATCAGTACAATAGCTGTTAGTTGTAATTAGATCTGTATTTTTATCCTGGCTCTGCTACTAAGTAACTTACAAGCATGAACAACTCTAATTCTCTGAGCCTTAGTTTTCTAACATGTAAAATCAAAGAGTTAAACCAGATGGCCCCAGGAAGTCATTTCAAGTTAAAAAATTCCAATCACTCATGTTGAGTCCAGGTACCAAAGAGGAATCTTGGTACTTAAGCAGTGTTTTTACCCGAAAAACTGAAGGAGTGTTATTTATTTATTTATTTATTTATTTATTTATTTATTTATTTATAAAGCTAAATAAATATTTTTAGGGTACAGTTTCATATAGTTCTTCTGATCCAGTATAATAAGAAATTAATTCTTTACTTAATTTTAATTATTATAAAACATAAAATAACAAGTTCTCCAAGTGTTTCTAATGCAGAACACTTGGGAATGTAATTACATAGTATTATTTTAAATGTATTTAACAACTCGATTCATACAGATTGACAAATGCAGTGGGAAACTACACCACCTAAAGATTTCATGCAAACTGTACAGAAAAATCAGCAAATTAGTACATCACACGAAAATGTATTTTAGAGTACATTTCCCCTCTTCAATGGCAGTGATTGTGCATTAGTGCAATCACAGAGCACTTGTAAACCTTTTCAACAGCATCTAGGTCCATAACAATTGTTTGGTTAGCCTCAAGGTCAGGTTTCTTAGTTCTGGGCTTTCTGAGTTTTCCTATTTTGACAGTTACAACATTTACCCATAACTGTAGCCATCCATCCAGACATGCCCACTGTCTGGTGTTGGGGGAGCAGGTGGATACGGGTGAATCTGAAGAACTCTCTCATCTTTCTAAAATTAGAAAATGGACGTGATTGAGGGGTTGGAGGGAGATATAACTATATCCTAGGCAGTTATCACTTTTTGGCAGGAAGCTCTGTCAGACTGAGTAAGATTCAGGCTAGAGACAGCTTCAGTGTGATTTCTGAGTTCTGGCTCTCTCTCTTTCTAGAGTCCTCAGTGTTAGGGAAGGGGAAACAAGAGAGGGTACCAGTACATGTCAGAACTGGCTGACTTAACCTCAGCCTTGCTTTTAAATTGCCACTAAAGGGCTTATGATAACAAGATGCTTTATAAAAAGATCTATCCACCTGCACTTTAATCAAGTGAGTTGAATTTTTAATATATTGAAGTTTCTTGAGAGCTAGCAACAAATCCAGGTTGTAGCGGGACATGGGACAAAGTAAATACTCTGTTTTCATCAAGCTTCGGTCTGTGGCTGTCAGAAGCCCCCAGCAGGTGCGTGGAGTGCTGACCAGTTAACACAGGTCTAACTAACGACGGGGCGCTGACAGAAAGCAGCTTCTTTCCTTCAAATTCAAACATCCTACCACCTTGATTTTTTTCATCTTCCTGGCAAGAAAAGGTACATTAACGTCCTTCAACACTAGGGAAATTCAAAGTATTTATTCATGAATTTTCATCCACCTCTATGTAATGTACAGTATGTGCACGTTAACAACAACAGGAAAGTGAATTATCAAGTGTCAATTGGAAATACTGACATAACGGGTTAAATATATTTCTTCATCACTATGTATGTGTGTATTCTTCCCCATCCCTATTGTCTACTCCAGATCTGAGCTGCTGTCTCCCACTGGCACTTCTCCTGTTATTCTCTTCAGCACAGAACAATGTCTCAAAGGTCAGATCTCCCAAGGGAGGTGGTCAGGCTTGCATTCGTCTTTAGAAAGTGCTCTGCTGGGTCCACTGGTGGCCTGTTATCCACGCAGATTGCTTCTGAACAAAGAGGAGTCAAAGAGAACTCGGGCTTCCAGAGAAAAACAAAGTGCTGTCCCCTATAAATCACAGTCTCTGCAGTGGAAGGTGTCTTCCTAACGAGGTAGAAATAATAGGGGGGTGTTGCAGATGCCCATATTTCACTGATACTGAACACTGTCTCTTTAAGGGCTTAAAATGGATTGACTCCACTCATCTCTCTGATTTTTTCGTAAGTAAGCCAGAACACCAGTGACCAAGGGGTCTGCAAGATTAACCAAAGAAGTTAGTGCACATTTCAAAGTAATTCTGAATATTCTACATATATGTATAACATCTTTAAATGTCAAAGTCATTTTGACTCTACCTAGGCTAAAAGCAAATATTTTTATTTTGCCCTTGCAGAACACCTTATATAATGCACAAAATATTTTCATGTAGCATTATTTCTCACCGAACACTTTCCTGTCATATATTTTCTCTGAACAATTTATAGTTGATATCCCCGTTTTACAGACAAGGACACTGAGGCTTAGCAATCAAATGCCTAATAACATGTTGTGGATCTAGACTACAGGTTTCTGGCCTCCATCCCAGAGTTCTTTTTACTGCATGTAACTGCCTAAAGGCTCAGGCTGAGCATGTCTGAATTCCAGGCTGGCTCCTCTACATTTGGTGTATACGGAGATGACAAGGAGGCACTTAAAAGATTGAAAGTGAAGATGAAAAAATATCCTGAGAGGTCACAAAACCAACACCTAGGGTATCACAAAATGGGTGTAAAAATTCATGTTAAATAGAGAAGAGCTTCCAGCTCAGAAAGACTAGCTTGAATGACGTTATAACTGTGCCAAAAGGAATTACACATAAGGGGATGAGGGTTATTCAATAATAGTTATAAAATGCTAAAAGACACAGGGAAATCACAGAGTAAATATTGGAAGTAACCATTAGAGAAAGGGTGCCTTGGATCCCATTCCTGTATAGTTTGGTTCATAGGTGATGGGTAATGTTGATCAGAGAGAAACAATATCAAACTAGAGATATAAACTCAAGCAATTAGACTATAGAATGTATTTGGTTAGACAGTTTGTAAAGCAATATATATGTCAATGTGTTTGGAAATATTAATGTATATTTATAGACTGAGAATTTACTATAGAGTGGATTTAGGAGACCACATCTGGGTCAGTTCAATGTCTGAAGACAGACGCAAAATAATGCGAAGCTGTGATGGTATCATATTCTTGTGACAATAACAATGAAGTGAACCACGAATATAACTGTAGATGGAGCAAGGAGCAGAGGCCTTAGTTAAGAATAGACTATGCGTTCATTCCTAATTGCTCTGGTCATTAGACTTCTTCCTCAAGTTAGTGACATAGCAGCCAAACTATATGCAAACGAAATGTAGTATATTAATCAGGGATTGAGCGAAGTGAGGTCATATTGCCTCTGCCTGGTGGAAGGGATTGAGATTGAGTTCAGCTGGGTTTTGAACAGAAGTTAAAGAGGGAGACCACACAGCCAGACAACTTGGGTAGTATATAAATGGGGTACACTGAGCCTCTGTGCAGGTGTATATGTGGATAGTGCATATTTACTAGTTTTCTTCCTCACTGGCACAGCTGTACCACTGAAAAAAATCCAAGTATATATGCACCCATGTTGCTTGCTCTGCTCTACCAATTGCCATCACTCTTGGGAAAACAGCAGAGTCCTTCTCCTTGCCTATTACTGAGGAGCTGAATACATAAGAGCTCTTGAGTTGATAGTTACGGCTCTTCCTCATCAATATTCTGTGTTCAGCAAGCAATCTACTGATTGTAACTTGGCTCTCTTACTGCTTCGATGTAGGAGGAAGCACGCTGTCCAGAGGACCTCAGCATCTGAATCACTGGCTACGTGTGTTTCTCAATGTGACTGAGATGATACTGTGGTTCACTCATCAATTTCAAGGCCAATCTTCTTGGACGTACTCATGAGTAAGGTTTCTAAGATTAGGGTCATGCACTGTGTCAGTTCAACAGGCCAATGTCACCTTGGTGATCTCTGGTGGTTCACCAGCCTTTCTCTGGTAACAAGGCTCTATTGCTACACACCTTCTCTTTTCTTTTAAAACTTCTAAAACTAGCTGTAGGATCTTGAGACACTCAGTATACTGCATTATTCAGAGGCATGGGTTTAGAGTTGAGCAGTCAATTCCTAGCTTTGCCACACACTAGCAATATGAACTTGAGCAAGTTTCTTATACTTTGAGCCATGGTTGCCTCATCTGAAAAATGAGGTTAACACCTCCTGTTTTAATAGATTCTTGTAGGACTTTAAAAAATAATTAATGTGTGTAGAGAGCTGAGGTTAGAGACTGGCATATATTAAGTACTCATTTTGTTGTTGTTATCTATGTGGTCTCAGTATTTCTTTGTCCGTGGGTGTTCTTCTTGCCCCTCACTCCTCCTTACCCTGATTTTATTTGTCACCAATGGTCTCACCCAGCTTCATAGTCTCCCACACCAGAAACCTAGAAGTCCCATTTCCTCTTTCCTTCCCCCACCTTCTACCTATAATAAGTTACTAAGTCCTATAGAGTTAACCATAAGTGTCCCTAGAATGTTGTTTTCTCTCCATTTATACAATCATCTGCTGGTTATATCACTGCCAAAACTTCCTTTCCTGTATCTTAGTCTTAATTTATCTTATTCATTGCTGCCAAAGTAATCTTGTCCCCAAACAAATCCAAGCTCATTGCTCCCATGTTTAGCAGCTGCTTGCTAACCGCAGGATTACACTTAAACTACAGAACTTGGCCAACAAGGTCTTTCTCAGCTGAGTCCTTAAGTACTTCTCTAGAACTCTCTCCTACCACTGCCCTGTGAAGCCTGTTCTCCAGCCACAATGAATTTTCTGCAGTTCTCCCAACACTAGGCCCACATGTGACCTGATGCCCATGCTACCTTCCTTTGATACCCATGTTACTCTTGACAAATGCCTACTAATCCTTCAAAGCTTATATCAGCTATCACCTCTGTGAAGGCTTTTATGGTGTCCTAAACAGTTAAAGCCATTTTTACTCCACTAGTCATGTTCCCACAGTGTTTTGGCCATACCACTGGCAAAGCACTAATATAACCTCCTTAATAAGACGATGTCCTCTAGAGCCAGGCTGACTGACTTTAATGCCCCAACTCCACTGGTTAACCACCTGCCCTGTCCAAGGTATCCAAACGCTAAGTTTTTGTTTCCTCCTCTATAAAAGAGAGATATGATAGTAACCTGCTAAATAGATTGTTGGGAGAAGTCCGTGAGGTAAGCCATAAAAATGATTAGCACAGTACTGACTATACACCAAGTGATTTTGGTAATACTAGCTTTATTTCTGTACTTTTAAATATATATCTATCTTCTCTATCACAATGTAACCTCCTCTAGTACAAAAAGTAAACATCTTATCCCTTAGTGTTACCAGCACTTATAATAGTGCCTGGTTCATGCAGGCCAAATAAAAATCTTCCTTTCCAATAAGAAATACCCACAGATGTAAGATAATTTCAAGGTATAATCTAGACCAGTGGTTCTCAACCTTCCTAATGCCGCGACCCTTTAATACAGTTCCTCATGTTGTGGTGACCCCCAACCATAAAATTATTTTTGTTGCTACTTCATAACTGTAATTTTGCTACTGTTATGAATTGTAATGTAAATATCTGATATGCAGGATGTATTTTCATTGTTACAAATTGAACATAATTAAAGCACAGTGATTAATCACAAAAGCAATATGTAATTATATATGTGTTTTCCGATGGTCTTAGGCGACCCCTGTGAAAGGGTCGTTCGACCCCCAAAGGGGTCGCGACCCACAGGTTGAGAACCGCTGATCTAGACAAAGCAATGTTTTACAACTTGGGTACACTTTTGTATCAGATATTGGCAATGGCTTTGGCAGTTAATTTCATGTTAATAGGTAGATACCATCCCTGGGTGACATCATTTATTCCCAAAGCTTCGATAACCATCTAGATGTGGAGGGTGCTCAGATCTAAATCTCCATTCCCGTAGTCCAAGATCCAGACCAATATGTGAAGGTAATCATCTAGATATGTTTTCAGGCTTAACACATTTAAAACTAAACTTGTTATTCTACCACAAAATCTTCTTCCCGGTAATTTCCTAAATTCCCATTTAGGAAATTACATCATCTGTCAGGGTAGAATCTGTGAGTGAAGCTGGACTTTTGTCTTCTCCAGCCACATTTCTATCTTCTACATATTTTTAAAATTTATCTTCTCTTGTCCCCACTGTTATACTCTAGTCCGGGGGTGGGCAAACTTTTTGACTCAAGGGCCACAATGGGTTCTTAAACTGGACCGGAGGGCCGGAACAAAAGCATGGATGGAGTGTTTGTGTGAACTAATATAAATTCAAAGTAAACATCATTACATAAAAGGGTACGGTCTTTCTTTTTTTAGTTTTATTCATTTCAAGCGGGCCGTAGTTTGCCCACGGCTGCAGTCCGAGCCACCACTACCTTTCATCTATCACTACTCCTAGGCTTCTCCAGAACCACATGGCAGCAAGAATGCTCTTTTTAAAAACACACGTCATCCAGTTGGTGCCCTCACTCTTACGGATCACGGGGCCCTTTCCAGTCTGGTCCCTGCCCCTTTGGCCTCAGCCTGTGCTGCTGTCCTCCATATCCCTGGGCCTTGACCAATTGGTTTTCCTGCAGTTCCTTGAACTCATCACGTTCTCCATCCACTCCAACTATTCCCTCCACCTAAAATGATCCTTTCTGCCCTTTTCACTAGGGTAAGTACTACTCGTTCCTCATCTCTCAGTTCAAAAGTCCATTCTCCAAAAAAGTTTTCTTAATCTTTCAGCCTAGGCTACACTTACTTGCTATAAAGTCCCATAACACCATGCACTTTCTCCTACTCCCCATCACTTCTAGCTTCTTAGTCAATGCTTTCCTCGCTTAGACTAAAAGCTCCAGCACTAGGACAGGGGCCGGGAATCTTCCATTTGTCCCAAAGCCCCACTCTGAGTCCAGGGCTTGGCAAGGCATAGGCACTCAATTAATATTATATGGTGTAAATTATTGATTGTTTGAATTTCTAAACCCACAACTCAGCCATTCTTTCAAATATTTTCTAACTTATAAAATATTTGGGTACTTTGTTTTTAATATAGTTTTATGTTTCTTAAATAAGTATCTAATTCTAAAAAATAACATTTAAACCAAATAAAAATGACATAATGCTTTCTTACTAAGCAGAATTTTGTGATAATAAATATCAATGGGTAATGCAACATGTGCCATCAAACTAACAAATTTTGTTTGAAACATTAGCATTTCCGTAAGAATAATCTTCAGTATTAAATCAGTACATGTGTCCAAAATGACAGTATTTTGGCTAAATAGACTACTAAAGGCTTCACAATGCAGAAAAATCTATCCACTGGCTTTATAACAACAGAGTATCAATCTATTAATTTCTGTATATAACTGAATTATTTTACTTTAATCTACCAAAGAAGGTAATAGAATTCTGATGAGAAGTCAAAGATAACAAAAAGAAAGAACTGTGGTATGAGGGCAGGGCCATGCCAGAAGAGAAAAGGGAAACTACTTATAGATTAAAAGTAATTTAAGTACAAATAAAACAAAAACAACAGAAGGAAAGACCTAACTTTACCATTCGCAGCCAAGATGGTAGAAAGCCTTTATACAGACTCATGAACCCTTCTCCTTGGACAGCCTGAATCAAGCAGTCAGTGGATGACTTATACAAAAGTCCCCTGAAAAGGAAACAAGACAATTCTGTTAAATTTCTTGTGTATATAAATATAAATTAAAAATAGACTAAGGAAACTTGCTATAAGTTAAATATTTCCTGCTCGTTTAGAACAAATACTATTTGTGGTTCTGTATACAGTAAGTCCTCACTTAATGTTGATAGGTTCTGCGACTTCAAGCAAAATGGTGTATTCACAAAACCAATTCACCACAAGCTAATTGACAGAAACAAGAGTTAAATTCCTACGGCAGCTCATCAACATTATAAGGAAACACCATTGAATGAAATGACATTATTTGAAGACCTGCTGTATATAGATCACCTTTTTGAGTTTAAAGATATTTTTAAGGTTGACTCTTCTGATTCATCCCACCCTTGGTTTTATACTTAGAATTCACTCTACCTGATCTCTTCCAGAGAGAAAATACTGTTTTATGTCAGATCAAATTCTCCATGTTACCTGTAAGTCATAAGCTTCTGAAGAAAGTACTCTGTAAATTCTCAGCAGAGTATGTTTTCAAAACCTCCTTGAAAACAATAAAGTCACAATAAATATCTTTTGTCTAAATATGATTGTTAAATTAGCTCATTTCCCCAAAGGCACAGTACTTTTTCATCAGACAAAGAGCAAGTAATTGCATAAAAACAACTTCCTGGTTGAACACACAAACACACAAATACATTTCTATCAAGAATAAACAGGGAAGCGTCTTTAAAGATCAATGTTATTACAGACATTCAGACACATGGACACTGAAGACTTTCTACCTACCTTCCTTGCTTATCTCGTGGTTGATTCATTATTCGGCTTTTGATGACATCAGCTGGTGTTCCCAGAATAGAAGCTACCAGTCCAGAACAGAAACTATAAATACAAATAGATGAAATTGCATGATAATATGTATCAGTTTATAAATTTTAATAAAAGGGAATTTAACGTTTAGAAAGAATAGAATACTAAATAAATTACTATAATATCTTTCATAATAATGCTCTTTTAGCTTAAAATAAATGCTAAATTCATTAAAAAGGTAGAAAAAAGGAAAAACAAAAGAATGTTTTGGACAGCCTGAATCAAGCAGTCAGTGGATGACTTATACAAAAGTCCACTAAAAAGGAAACAAGACAATTATACATTGAAAACCTACTGGGGATAGGCAGAACAAGACGATGAGGTCCGCCCTTGAGGCACGTACACTCCACTGGTGGAGCGGCACAGGAAAAATGAGTAATGTCAGGTGCTGATAAGCACTATGAAGAATAAAATGGGGTAATGTGAAGGGAGCGCAGCAGAGAAGAAAGTGTCTATGCGAAGACCTGGAGGAGGAGCATTGCAAGCAGGAGGAAGGGCACAGTCAAAGCCCCGAGTCAGGAATACTCTTGTGTGTCAGAGGGGGAAAGCAACCACATGGCTGCATCCTCCTCAGGAGGGTCCATCCAGATGAAAGACCAAAGAAGCGGAGTTCAGCCCATGAAGGCCACTGAAGGAGTTTGATTTTATGCCAGGTATTCTCTCTCTGCGCATTATGCTCTAATGCTATCATTAAGTGTAGTTCTCTGTACTTACCACCATTATCCAATACCTCCATGCCTTTAATTCTTTCATTTGGAATGCCCCGCTCCCCATATAATTGGAAAATTCCCAGTTTTTCCTTCAATCTATGCTCAGGCACAAGGTCTAAGGAGTTTTTGCTTACCGCTCTCTCTTTACCCAACAAGGTTAATCACTCCTTGTTAAAGGTTTCTTGTCAACTACTCAAAAGTGACAAAATGGATGTCAACTGCACAGTAAGTCAAGAGTATGTAAATGAGTGACTGAAAAGTTAAGAAACCACTATAAGTTCGTGATGTGTACAGACATAAGGGAGATAACACAAGAACATAATCAAAATTTCATAAACAGACAACTCATTAACTACTTAAAGTTTTCCAAGAGAAAGGCATCTGACGAGAAGAGGGGTGGCTAACCTGATCACAGAGAACAGAGGCCCAAAGTCCAGAAGTTGGCAGCTGAGTCCACAGTATGGGATCATGGAAGCCTAGAGAGTAGCTTATGTTTGGCTAATGCAAAGCTAGAAAGGAACATTGTGTAAAATATTAAACAGCGACCTTAGGACGCAACTGCTGATGGCCTCATCCTCCTATCAAATTGTTTTGATGCCACAGTATGATCTGGCTGGATATCTTTAAAAAATAAATATTAAAAGAGAGCAAGTAATGTATTAAAAAGGCCTCAAGTACGATGACACCTAGAGTCAAAGTAAGAAGATAGGGCAATAACAGGAGATTTATTTTGTCAAGCTACTCGTAATGGGCATGGGTACTTTGCTATTGACCTTTATCACTCCTTGCTAGTAATAGCCCAAAATGAGGCCGAGGACACAGTGAAAGTGAAAATGGACAGAGGTGACTGGACGAGTCTTCTGTTCTCTCTAGGAGACCAATGGTTCTCTACAAAACTAGTTTAAAATATCCCATCAGCCCTGTGTCAGAATCAGCGATACTCTTCACGATCAACTAAATAACCATGCTCACATATAATCTTCACACAATGGAGACTGACCTTCTCAGTTTTACCTAATAGCCTCATGATTTTACAAAAACAAAAAAGGGGATTATCCTGGTCTTTCTGTTCTATACAATTTCCTGACCATTAATTCTACTCCCATCTTTCCTTTGCCTCTCCTATTAACATACCTTGTAACCTGCCTTCCCACCTCACCGGAAAATTTTGGAAGATCCAAATCCTGGCCACAGGCTTCTATGGCTCCTGCCCTACTCCAGGACTTCATTTTACCTTCACCATTTAAAAAGCTGTGCTAAAATATACATGACATACAGTTTGCCATTTTCACCATGTTTAAGTGCACAATTCAGAGCTTACACCATTTTTATTCTTCTTCATATTGAACTCCTTTTCCCCAGATGTTGATGGCTTGGGTAAAGCTCCCTGATTGTAGAGCTGCAGTCCCCTTCACGCATCCATGAGCATTCACAGCATCCACAACTTTCAGATCACACAGCACTACTTACCTACTTATATTTGCGTTCACAGTAAACAACTTTGAGCTGCCTCACATACTATACATACTCATGCAATGCACTTAAAAACCTGATCCAGTGGGTGGAGCTAAAAAATGAGCCAAATACCAATCATCCCATTTTCTCAAAACCTGAATTAGAGAAGAATAAAGCTAAGTTATTTCATATTAGGGCTAGAATATATACTGGCTGGAAATTTCAAGTCTTTCCAAAAAAGATATTATCTGGAAGGTATATCTGGGAGTCGTGTACATTAAACAGATTTACTCCTGCTGGGAAATCCATGAATCTTAGGTGAGAAGTGTGGGATTTCAAAGACTATCTGGTTAGAAAGATAAGGTAAAAAAAAAAACAACAAGAAACAGAGATGATATCACCGTGGGACTTTCGGAAAGACCTGACTAACCTGCTCCCACAGTACAGCATACACTGGTCCAGACAAGCATCTGGAAAGCTAAGTCAAGATGACTTGACTGGGTAGAAACTGGTGAAGAAGGTCTCATAGGCAGAGGGGACAGCACGCACAAAGATAGTGGAGGAAAGAAACGTATGAGTGAATACAGATATCACACACATGTTTATGGGGATGGAGGTAAAAGTGGAAGGAGCCCTAACATCCTGTGCTCTGTGAAGAGGCCAGAGAATGTATGGTGCAGACTGTGAACACACCTGGGTAAGAGTTTAGAATGAGAAAGAACAGTAAGCAAAGACATATAAAAAGATTGCCCTAGCAACACTAAAGACAGCGCTGATTTTAAAAGAGGAAGAATGAAGAAACACTACCCTAAGAATATTTAGTTAGGTTGAACCTGATTTAGGAATCATTTTATCTGTACCTATTATGTCTCCAAATATCATTGGTTTGGCACTATTAATATACTTTTGGGGTTGTCCAAATACCATAAAGGGTTCTAGAATTTGGAAACAAGATAAGGAGCTAAATAAAATCACTATAATGTTAAGGATATTAGACATCCATAAAATAACTCATTCTAATGGATATTTGAAATTGTTGCAGAGATAAAGGTACGTATTACTCCTCCCTAGAATGCTCTTCTTCCTGTCTCTTTTTATCAAAAGCACAGCCCTTCAAGACACGTATCTAATTCTAACCCCTCCAAGTGGTTATTACTTCTCCCTCCTCCGAACTCTACAGTAACTGTCATTTACTGTACAGTGTTTTTACGCTTTGTCTTGTTTTCTGTCTTGGTAAACATCCTGGGAAGGAGTTGGGTTTATGGTCTGTACTGACTACAAGGGCCCTGCACAGTGCCTTTAACACAGAAGTTGCTCAGACATATCTGCTCAACAAGCTGGTGAGCTGATCATTAGAATCTGACCCTGGCAGGGCCCCAACAAGGTGCAAATATTTGGGGAAGTTTAATCTACAACATTCTACAACTTCGTCTCTGTCTTCTCCATTTCAACTGCAACAAACTTTAAGAAAACTGCTTTTTATAAATATACTATCACCTTTCTCTAAGTGTGATATCCCTAGATTCCCAATCAAAAGAGAAAAAAAAGGTATGTCAAATATGGAAGAAAAGGTGATCTGGAGAAAAAAAAATAAAGTCTAAAACTAAAACAACCACTTACCTAGATAAACTGTGAGTCATGATATTGTCCTCAAGTGTTGTATTCAATACCAAGTAGTGTTTCACTGTATCATACGTGGTTAAATCTGGCAATAGAAAGAAAAAGAAGACAACTATTTATTTATTCAACAATAATGTCTTTGAATCTTAGAGAAGGTGTGGAGCAGAGAGAAGACCTTATAAATAATTTGGTCTTATATCTTTATTGTCACAATTTGCTTATTTTTGGAAATCCTTTTCACATGCCATACCAAAAAGTGAAAATGCTCTAGGGAACATTCTCAATTATAGTACAACATAAAAGAAGACTATTGTCAGTATATGTTATTTAAAAATAATAACATTTTTCATTTTTCCTGAGGTGAGTGCCAATAATTATTAAGGCTATTACGCTTCTCAGAATTCAATGAAGTTTCCATTACCTCCCATATTCACCAGCGCTGCTCTTTGTACATTGGGTACCCAGCCTGCCCAAAGCCCACGTATTCCTCCTTCAGCTAAGATTTTTGCAAATGCATGATGCACACCACGAAATCTAAGGGGAAATAATAATGAATGTAAAAGCTGCATGCATTCCTTTGTATGGAATGCAACTGGATAAGCTTGCCTATATAGCTGTTAATGATTTGGAGTAAAATAACATCTTAATCACTCAGAATTGTTAGAAATTAAAGCAATCCACAGAAATCTAATTTCCAGATAAACTTAAAAATCCTTTAAAAAAAGGCCAACATTTAATTAATCATTTTAATGGAAATCTTTATAAACTGTGTCAACCTCTTCTCAAATTTTTGAACACATTACAATTATTTTCTTGATATTTTACATAACCAGTGCACATATTAATTATAGGAGGGAACAGTAGTTATTGTACCTCTGGTTCATTTTACTACTTTGTGGGAGACCTACAAATTCTGTAATTTCGTCAAATAACAATGACCCTCACATAATCTTTTAAAGAAATATTTTTAGGCCAAAAAGTAAGAAGGACAACCTCATCATAAGAGGTTTAAAATAGAATACTTTGGCTTTATCAAAATTTACTATTTTATTCTTATTTTGCTTATTTTTCTTTACACAGATAAAAAAAATGGTACTGAACCATGGGCCACATCTGGAAACCTCTGGTATAAAATAAAGATCTGGATTTGATATAGTTGATATAGTTGGATTTGATATACCTGGAGTCAAATGCTACCTTTCCCACTTACTAGCTGTGCTGTGTGGCTTTTGCTCAGGACTTACACTTTCTGAGTCGCACTGAAAAGATAATATGACATTTATTAGGCATGCATAATTGCTACGATGCTACATGGGAGGTATGGTCATAAAGGGCTAATGTAGCTAAAATTTATTGTACACTTATTAAGCACCAGACTTTTTTTATACATATATGGTACATTTAATTTTTGAAAACTCTATGAAGTGTGTATTATTAACTCCAATTTACATCTGAGGAAACTAAAGCTTAGAGAGGTTAGGAAATTGACGAAGGTTACAGAGTTAAAATGTGGTAAAGGCTGGATTTGAATCCCAGGTTATCTGATCCCAACATTCATATTCTTTATAACAGTATTCAATGTTTTTTATTACTATAGCAAACCAAAAAGTTCCAACATTAAAGATGAGGGAAAAAATTGAGGCAATCAATTCAGATTATTTCTGGATCCTAATAATTAGTTCTCTCCCTATATATCCAACCAAGGCCACATCACTTCTCCCTGCTACTGAGTAATTAGACCTTGTTGCCAGATGACAAAATAGGCCCTGGGGTTCCGTGAACTACTTGGTTAAATCAGAGTGGTTTCCCTTTCTCCTCTGTGGTGCAGGCTCTTCCCCAGTCCAACCTCGTTTTCCACTGAGTCAGCTCAGGGAGCAGCAGAGCAGAGAGCAGTGGTCAGGAGCGAACTCCCCAAACTTCCTTAAACTTGGTGAAAAGAAGAGGAGCAGACTGGACAAGGAAGCAGGAACCACCTGCAAGGTCAACTTTGCTATTTCCCTTCTTTCGGGGAGAAAGGGAAGAAAGCTAAGCTTTTGGCACCTATGAGCCAGGCAGTCTCACTGTCAGGTAGACCTTCTGAGATGGCCCCTTGTAAAGTCAGAGAAGCAGAGACTAGAAATGTTAATTGACTTCAACAACACCAGGCCATGCTAAATCAGGATTCAGAGCAGGGCACATTTTAATGATCAAACTCTTTACTAGTATATTGCTGCCTGGGCTAGGAAAGGCAGCACACACATAATTTGTCTGGGTAGAGAACATGTGCACCTTTATCATGCAAAGAAAAGATCCACCTTAGCTCTCCTCTTAATGGATACAATTTCCAAATTAAGAGAGTCAAAATTACTGTCTTTACTGAATGCTGAAGTACAAAAATGCTTATGTCCATTAGGTAAATGTTCAAAATACGATGGTGGCAAAGGGGGACAGAAAGGTGTGCATTAATTAGCGAACCTACCGCAGTGGTTTTCCTTCGAGTTTCCTTTTTCCTTCCATTTGCATCTGAACCTTCACTAGATCTGTTGGGTTGGCTAAAAACTGGCCAACCACACCAGCAAACATCCCTCCAATCACTGATTTCCTGATTATACAAGGAGATACATTTTTAAAGATGACTATTAATTTCATAAGTTTTGTAGTAAACAGTACCATGCTGGTACAGCCCTTGCATATGACATTTAAGACAAAATGAGGAACAGACCCAAACAAATCAGAGGAAAGTGGATGATCTGTCTGTTTACAGAGGGCAAGGTTAAAGGACCACAGAGAGTTGAAATTCAAATAGTTTGCCCACGTTACATGTTGGTAGAGCAGGAATTTGGGCCCATCTCTGTCGTATTCTAAAGCCTAGGAATTCTCAGTAGAAAAAGGAATAGAGAATGTGCTCTAAAACAATTTTTAATATTAAAATATTAAATAATACATATACAATTTTATGTACATATATACATTTGTATACAAAGTGCAGTAAATGGTCAATTATTTGGACTTAAATTTTTAATATTTATTATTTTAAGCCTGTAACTTGAGGTGATTGCAGTACAATGCATAATTTTATGTAAATCTAATGGATAAAACATTAAAACCTTAGGGGCAATAGCATCTTATTTTCAAAACAAAACTTACCAAAGGGGATAATGCTGATCTTCATTTTTGCGAAACACAACTTCACGGAGATGTTCATATGTGACCATTCGACCTCCAGAGTACACTGTGTAAGAGAGAGCATGAAAAAAGTGGATCCAGCTGTATGTTTAATAAAATACGAGGACCTCTGACCTGGTCTGGTCGCCTCTCCAGCTGGCTCTTTTCCTCATGCAGCCTATGCCTCCGGCACATGGACTTCCTGGTGGCTCCCCTCATGGGCATGCCTTTTCCAGCCTCAGGCCTTCTCACCAGCTGGCTGATATTTCTTGCATGGATTCTCCCTTCTCTGCCTTGCTAACTCCTCCGATCTTCAAAACTCAACTCAGAGAACTACTTTTCCAGAAATATTCTCTGACCTTTGCTCCCGTGTTCTAGGCTGTCATGGCACCTGCTGCTTCCCCTGTGTTCCCACAGAACCACACAGGCACACATCTAATTCAGCATTTATCATACTGACTAGAGATGGACTTGATTTTCTTGCTCACCTTTTCATCAGACCATGAGGTTTTCATTACCCTATATGCCCTAGTACAGAGCTGGGTAAACAGTGGGCATTTTCATTCAATAAACATGTATAACTTTATTGGATAATTTATTATAGTATAGTCATTTTTCAGTCGTGTCAAATATATGAAATTAAGCTTAACTGTAAAACCATATATGGTGGTCAACAAATACACATGAAAAGAAGTGAAATTCAAAACAACAATGGGAAGCAAAGGAGAAAATATTTTTTTAAAGGATGAAAAGTAAAAATCATTAAAATCAGTACATGATATTCATATAGAGAATTTTTCTTGATATTTCTGGAAGTTTGATGAAATATTTCAAGATATTAAAAAATATACAAAGTACCAAACAATAACAGTCTCTATGCACATTTCTGGATAGTTCTTGATGAATACACTCTAACTTACTCATCTGAAAAACTGAAGCTTTAAAAATAATAAGATGGAAGTTACTGCTGGGCGGTTCTCTGACCAAGGGTCCCTTCAATAGTTGAGGAAACATGATGAATGTAGAGGAGAAAAATGCCACACTTGTCCTACCACTTTTTTTTTCCAATCCTCACCTGAGGATATTTTTTTCCATTGATTTTTTTTTTTATAGAGTGAAAGGGAAGTGCGGGGGGGGAGAGAGAGAGAGGGAGAGAGAGAGAGAGAGAGAGAGAGAGAGAGAGAGATCAATGTGCTCTCACATGGACTGGTTGCCTGCCGAATGTGCCCCCACCAGGGCCAGGGATTGAACCTACAACCGGGGTAACATGCCCTTGACCAGGGTGACTCTTCAGTACTTGGGCTGATGCTCCAACCACTGCTTAGGACTGTCCTGCCACCTTTTGAAGCCAAGTTTATGTTCCCCTGTCCACAAGCTGAAAACTCAACACCTCCTATCTTTGTGAGTGCCACTTGGGAAGCAGAGCAGAAAAGTGCTCTCATTGGCTGTAATGTGCTTATCACTATTTTCCTTTAAGAGTGACCAAAGGCCCACATAGCTAGCTAGTTAGGTAGCCTGGGAAACAGGCAACAAAAAGCACCTGCTTTGCATTTAATCTATTGCCGGAGTTGGACAGACAGTCATCCTTGCTTGCTGTCTTTTCAGAGTAGCCTGATTTCTAATGTATTGGTGAGATTTGGAATTGTGGTCAAATATATTTAATTTTCAAGAACCTAAACATTTTTAATTTTGTGTTTAAAGTTTCTATAATAGATAAATACATAAATTATGCTTTTTTTCTTAAACTTGAAAATAATTTATTAAGAAAATTTTGAAACATACAGAGAAGCTACTTCTCTGTATGTTTCAAAATGATATATAACTCCCTCAGTATCTATAATTCAGATTTATAAAGTGCTAATATTTTTGCCATATTTGCTTCATGTTATTTGTTTTTTCTTAATTATTTTAAAGTATATTACAGATATGATGACAGTTCATCCCTAAATAATTCTATATGTATTTCTAAAAATTGAGTGCAATAATTCCTTAATAACAATTGGTAGTTAATTTTGTTCTTCTTAAGAGACTATATATTCATTTATCACATTAGTAGAAAAAACTAACTGGTTTTTGGATAGAGCCAAACAGAAAAGCAGAGGAGACAAACACAGAAATCAAAACAAACTTACCAGCCAGAATCAAGATAAATACCTACGTGTCTGTAAATGGCAGGTGTCACTCCTTGCCAAAGCCTTAGAAAGCCTTCCTCTTGGACAATCCCGAGGGCTGTGCGCACCATGCCCCTGTAGGGAGTAGCTTCTCTTGCGCTGTCTCCCAGCCGAGCAAGGGCAGCTTCTCCTTGCATTTGGAGTCGAGTTTTTGTGAGATCGAGGGGAAAGGTTGCTAATACAAAAAAAATCCAAAATGAGGGGGAAACTCACAATAATCAGAGAAACAAACAATTCTAAAATCACAGGACTAATACTTCAGTCACAACATCAGTGATTCTCAAATTTTAGAGTACATTAGAATCAGCTATGGAAATCAGTTGATTCATAAGCGCTCCCAAATTTACAATCCACTGTTCCAGAGCACATCCCAATCACCAGGAGGAAAAGTGTCAAGCCTTGCGTTCTTTTTGTTCAGAAATTTCAGTCTAAAATCTATTTTTTGTCCTTAAGTTTTGCTTTCCAATGGTTATAATTTCAGGTATCCATATTGTGTAATGTCCTCTTGACTGTAATTGTGATTAAGATCTACTGTGACTTTTAGAATACTGTATAACTTATGCTAGGTTCTGAATGCCAGGTGAAGCTAAATTCTATAATTTCATAGATGATGTTCACACGCAGATAACTCACTAACTTGTTTGAGATACAGAAGATGCAATAAGGAGTTTATAATGTCATCTTCTGTATACGAGGATGGCATGCTCATTGGCCTTGTATTAAAGCACATACTGTTTTTCCAGCATTGACAATTTTTATGCATGGCCTCCTTACAAGTACCAACTGCCCTTGAAAATTATTTTTCTAATGATTACATTTTGAATTATAGGCCTTTTACCTTGAGACAGAGCAGCACTAGCTAGGCCAGAGTAGGAATATCAAGCTCATAACTTTATAAACACAATGTCCCAAATAACTGAGATGACCAGATTCAGTTAACTTCATGAACATTGCTAACATTACAGAAGTTTTTCAATGACTCCCACTTGATACAAAACCATAGCTATGTCCTTCCAAAAGAAAACAGAGTGAAGAGAATAATCAATCTTACCACTGGTCTTTGGAAAAATTTATATCTTGCCGATAGTTTCCCTTAAACAAGTAATTAACATATAGAGGATTCAAGCAATGCTTCATTGAAATATGAAATATGAAAAGTCTTAAGACATAGGATCCTCTATATGAGCATAGGTTATGACTCAAAACAAATCTGTTTTTTTTTGCTCGTTACTTAAATCATGCTCCAGGTTCTGATCCTAAATTGTTTTGCACCCAGAACCATCTCATGTTTTGATTCTCCCTCCTCCCATCCCAGCTTCCTCACAACTCTCCATGAATTTTTAACAGAAGAAATATTCCTTTACAAAAGCCTTTGGTCAGAGGGGGAAACATCAGTTTAAATAAATTTTAAAAAACCAACAAAACAAACAAAAGCAAAACAAAACAAAAGACCCACCTGGAAATATATCTAATCATTCAGCAATCTGCTTTTAAATTTAAAAAAAAGTTGATCAATTATATTTCAGTAAAAACAATGAATGAAAGTAATTCTCCATCAGTTTTGAGTGGACAGAGAAAAAAGAAGGTTCAAAGGGCAAGAGTGGAGGAGCACAAAGGGCGGAACAACAGAGAACGTGCTGGCTGGGCTGGAAATACAAACTAAGCTCATTGTAACAGGGCAAACATTTACAATTGATAACACACCAGAGCTGTTACTTTTTGTTTGTTTTAAATGGGCAACAAAATGAAAGGCTCATCACAGTGAAGGCTTCACAGGGAACGGCAGGCACTACTCACAAAATCCTTGGAAGAAACACCACCTGCTCCTGTGAGGGCATCCTCAGTCTGCGCTAGGTGGCCTTCCGTTTCCCTGACTTGCTTACACAGAGGTACCCGCTCATCTCTGTGCTCTTATGATACCTAACAATACCTTCATCATAAGAATGCAGGTCTCGCCACCAGCCTGGAAGGTCAGAATTGGGTCTTTTAAACTACATCTCCACAGTCTCTAGCATTGCAGTAATTATAATAATAGCACGATTATTGGGGGTCTTGCCTTGGATTTAGTATTTATTTATTTTTGACTTCTCAGAATCCTGCAAGGTAAACACAGTAGATGCGTTAAGCTCCAAGTGGCCAACTGGCAGATGCTGAGTAGAGGCTCAATTAAGTGTGACAGGTTAATAAGTTGGTTCCACAATTTGGACCCAAAAGACAATGATGTATCGAGGCTGTGTAAGAATATAAATCACAGGGACATACGTAATAGTTTCAATAGTAAAGATAAGTTTTTTTAAAAAAGAATATACATCCAAGAGATTATTTCAATAAGGACGAAAAGTGGATTTTGTTTTCCAAAAGGTCATCCTCACTAAAGGGAAAATGATGCCTTAAGGGGAATGACAACTCGTGAAGCTCCTGAAAGTACACGTTTGGGTACAACTGCACACCTCCGAGGGAGACGAAATTGGAAAGCAAAGACCTTAGTGACCCCCCGGTCCCTCCTCCACACAAAGCTGGCCTTGCCCGCACCCCGCCACATCTGCGGGACACGTGGGGAAGGACAGGGCGCAACCTCGCGGACTGCACACACCCGGGAACCGAGCCATCTGCTGGCCCTACCGCTCCTCCCCCCCCCCTCCCCCGCTCCCCCACTGCCACCCCTTTCCAGGGTGGCGCCACAACGACCGGCGGGAGAGGCCCAGGAGCGGGCGTCCGGGTACCTAGCTCGGCCACGGTGGCCGCGCAGCCCGACAGTACGAAGTTGCTCGCTCGGGGCCATCTCTGGACGAGCGGCAAAAGCCTCTCCTCATCCTCTGGGACCGACATTCAGCAGCAGGACAGGACGACAATGCACCCCTTCCGGCCGGCGCGGGCGCCACAGCTGGCGTGCCGCCTGGCCAGGGCGGCCTCTCCTTAACCGGCCAAGGGCGTGGCGGAGTCCGCGTCCCTCTCTGGCTTGGCCCCTCGAACCCGCGACCTTCCTAACAGCCCCAGGACGGAGTGATCCAGCGGACACTGAGAACAGATAAACAACGCGGAGCCCGCGAGGCTTCTGGGAAATGTAGTCCTCCGCACTCTGCGCCCCGCGTTCTCTGATTGGCCGCAATCTACGCGCTCGCTGGGCCCCGGTATCCATGGCAACAACGCGTGGGTTTTTTTCCCCCCTCTTGGCCACTCGAACCCGCCCTTCGACCTCGGTCCAGCTTCAGCACGACGAACCGGTTGGCCAAGACCTGGAAGAGAAGTGGGAGGGAGCGATGATGCAAAAGTCATCTAAACACTGGGGCGGGGAAAGGCGACTACAGTTAGAAAGGCAAAGGAAGCTGCAAAAGTTGCAGCAGGAAAGTTTGCGAGGTCCGGTGGGTGCTCCCGATTCGCAGAGGGAAGGAACAAGTGCCATGGCAGCAGGACTTTTCCTTCTTTGATTCTGGAAGGTGCTAGACAAAAACATGGAACTAATTTTCCCGTCAGTGCTTATAATCCTAGGTTGCGTTGCTCTTTTGTTATTCCTTCAACGGAAGAACTTGAGCGGACCCCCGTGCATCAGCGGCTGGATTCCTTGGATTGGAGCTGCATTTGAGTTTGGGAAAGCCCCTCTAGAGTTTATAGAGAAAGCAAGAATCAAGGTAAGAGGCCTTAGCAGGTGGGGTTATCGGAGAAGGTAATGTTTACTTTTTTATTTTCTTTCATTGGATCTCAAATGTAATGTTAGGACACGGGGAACATATCTGCTGCCCTCAATTAAAGGATCTAGTCATTTATGCATTCCTCAACCTACAGCTATGTCTTATGCATGGTTTTTAAAAACCAAATAGATTTCTATCAGTTATGAAGTACAATGCAGCTTGCAACTAACTGCCTTTTGGGAAGCAGACATTATGGGATGCAACCTATGATGAGTGCTAATTACTTCATCTTTAAAAAATCCTTTGTATACATATTAAGTAAATGCTTGCAGTAATTGGGAAAGACAAGTGTAATTTCAGTTTATGAAAACACATAGTAAATTAGTAGCCAAATAGGAGTTTGTTGTAAAAAAAAAAAATTGCTTACAAACTTGGTCTTTTTTTTTTTTTTTTTTAAATATATTTTATTGATTTTTTACAGAGAGGAAGGGAGAGAGATAGAGAGTCAGAAACATCGATGAGAGAGAAACATCGATCAGCTGCCTCCTGCACATCTCCTACTGGGGATATGCCTAAACTTGGTCTTTACAAATTTTGCTGGCCCCGTATTTTCGACTGCTGTTATTACTTACTGATGATGAAATCAGTTTTCCCTGGGCACTAAGAAGATTAGTGATGGTTGTTGTAGTAGATGGTTTTGTACTTTTTCAAATATAGTATATCTTGCAAAAAGAGTTTATAGAATACTGCCAACTTTTTTATTTATTTCAACCAGCGCTTCACTGAACATTCTGGGGGTGAGGGGCGGGGGTTGTGTATACATACATATAGTGTGTGTGTGTGTGTGTGTGTGTGTGTGTGTGTGTGTGTTGCTTTTTGCACCTAGCCGATTGTTTCCTCAGAATGAATTTCTAAAAATGGAAGTGCCTAAAGAACATGAACATTTACATTGCTTATGTTACCATTTTACCCTTGCAAAAGGATTTAACAGTATACACTTTTTCTTTTCTTTTGAGTGTAGGTAGGGAATTGCCTAGCTCCTCTTATCCTGGCCCACACAAGGAACCATAATTCTTGCTAGTCTAATAGATGCAAAACAGTATATTTAAAATAAATTCTCCTTTATTTCCTACTAGAGGCCCGGTGCACGAAATTTGTGCACAGGTGGGGTCCCTAGGCCTGGCTGGCAATCAGGGTAGATCGGGGCCTTCTGGCTGCTGGCTGGGGCCTTCCTCCCTTCATTCCCCACCACCTTGTGGTGGTCAATGCACGTCATAGAGAGCGATTGAACTCCCAGTCTCCCAGTCGAATTCCTGAGGGGACACTCTGCATATTAGCCTTTTATATATATATATATATACTAGAGGACTGGTGCACAAAACTCATGCACTCGTGGGGGTGTCCCTCAGCCTGGCCTGCGCCCTCTCACAGTCCGGGAGCCCTCGGGGGGTGTCCAACTGATGGCTTAGGTCTGCTCCCCCATGGAGCGGGCCTAAGCCAGCAGTCAGACATCCTTAGCGCTGCTGCAGAGGCGAGAGAGGCTCCTGCCACCGCCACTGCGCTCACTAGCCATGAGCCCCACCAGGGCTCCTGCGTTGAGTGTCTGCCCCCTGGTGGTCAGTGCACATCATATCAACCAGTCATTCCACAATTAGGTTGATTTGCATATCATATAGGACAGCCGTGGGCAAACTACGGCCCACGGGCCGGATCCGGCCCGTTTGAAATGAATAAAACCAAAAAAAAAAGACCGTACCCTTTTATGTAATGATGTTTATTTTGAATTTATATTAGTTCACACAAACACTCCATCCATGCTTTTGTTCCGGCCCTCCAGTCCAGTTTAAGAACCCATTGTGGCCCTCGAGTCAAAAAGTTTGCCCATCCCTGATATAGGATATAGCCTTCCTTAGGAGTATGATTTTGATAATGTTTAGGGAATGTTTTTACAAGCTTGTCTGAAAAGGTCAATCAAGGTCACAAAGATTATTCTATTTTCTCCTAAAAAGTTTATAGTTTTGCATTTTTCATTTGGGGCTATGATCAACTTTGTATTAATTTGTGTGTGTGTGGTATAAGTAAGGGGTGAGGTTCATTTCCCCCCTGACCTGGATGTCCAGATGTTCCAGTATCATTTCTTGAAGGACTTTCCTCATGGCATTGCCTTTGCAGCTTTTCATAAATTAGTTGACTGTATATGTGTAGTTCTATTTCTAGCTTTTCTCTCCTATTCCATTGATTTATATGACCACTCCTTTATGAACATTGAATTGTCTTAAATACTGTGTTTTTATAGTAAGTCTTTAAATCAGGTAGTCAAAGTTCTCTATATATTTTTTTGTAATTGCCTTGACATTCAAGATTTAAATTTGAATTTTAATATAAATTTTAAAACTTACTTGTCAATTTCTATTATAAAGACTGCTGGAATTATGATTGGAAGTTTGTTAAACCTATAGAAAAATTAGGGGAGAATAGACTTTTTAACAATATTAATTCTTCTATTCTTTGAATGCTGTATATCTCTCAATTTAGCTACTTAATTTCTTTCAGAAATTACGTGTAGTTTTTTGCAATGAGGGCTTGCCTGTGATTGTTAATTACTTTCTTGTGGATTTTATATTTTGGGGGTTATCCTATATAATAAAAACCTAATATGCTAAGTGTCCAGTTGACAAGTTGGTCGTTCAACCAATTAAAACATAATAGGGTAATGATATGCTAAGGCTACTCAACCACTTGCTATGACGTGCACTTACCACCAGGGGGCAGACGCTCCAACTGGTAGGTTAGCTTGCTGCTGGGGTCTGGCTGATCAGGACTGAGTGAGGTGGGCCAGGCACACCTTGGAGCCCTCCTGTGGTACCTCCCCAGCTGGCCAACCTCCCACATCCCTCCCCAGTCCTGATCCTGCACCAGTGGGGTCACTCAGCCTGGCCTGCACCCTCTTGCAATCTGGGACCCCTCAGGGGATGTCAGAGAGCAGGTTTTGGCCTGATCCCACAGGCCAGGCCGAGGGATCCCACTGGAGCACAAATTCGTGCACTGGGACTCTCGTTATAGATAAAATTGTTTTCACTTTTGCTTTCTAATTGTATCCTGCTGGCACATAAAAAATGCAAGGTTTTAGTTTTTTTTGTATATTAATTTTGTATCCTATGACCTTGCTAAATTCACTTATTAGTTCTAGTAGTTATTTTGTGAAATTCTTAAGAGTTTTGATGCATAAACAGTATGTCCTGCAAAGAGATAAATTTATTTTCTCCACCCCTCCGCCATGATGTTTATGTCTTTTATTTCTCTTTCTTGCGTTACTACAATCAGTAGGAGCTCTAATATATTGTGGAATAAAAGTGATGAGAGTTGACAAGCTTGTCTTTTTCCTAATTTTAAGTTAAATGTTCGACATTTTACCATTAAGTATGATGTTAACTATTGATTTTCCAAAGGTGCCTATTTCAGTTCTGACCTTCAGACCATACCCAGAATTCAACAGGGAAATAAATAGTGAACTATTGTTTTTTCACTTCTGTACAATTCTCTCCTCTGTGGAGTTTTAGCCAATTTAGTTTTTATTGTATCCCCAGTTCTCTGATGCTTTTCAAAATATCATCTTTGGAATTTATTCACCTTTTTAAAATTGGCAGTAAGAACCTTGGCTCACCTGGTTCTACCACATCCTACTCAGACATAAAACCTGCAAAGTATTTCCTGAAACATAGTTCACTTAAACAGTCACTTAATGATGGACATGTTTTTCCCCTCATATTTTGCTATTATACATAATGTAGCAATAAATGTCATTTCTGTGTGTACAGTATATCTATAAATTATCAGATTGAAAGTGTAAATATATTTGTAATTTAGAGTGAAGTAGGAAAACTTTTGAGTGTTTTGAGCAGAGGAGTAATATGATCTGATTTAAATTTTAAAGGGTCACTTTGGCAGCTCTGTTAAAAACAGGGACTTAAGGATAAAAGAAGGAAAATAATTTGAAGGTTATTGCAATATTTCAAGCTTAAGGTCATGGTGATTTGGGCCATGGTGATAGCAGTGGCAGTCTGAGAAACAGCTGGGTATATTTTGAAGGTGGAGACAACAAGATTTACTGGTTATTGAATGTGGTGTGTAAGAGAATCAAAGAGGCAAAGGTGACTCCAAGACGTTTCGCTTGAGAAACTAGACAGTAGATTGCCATCAAATGAAATGGACAAGATTGCAAGAACTCATTGGAAGGAAAGTTCAGCTTTAGATCTGTAGAAGTTTGGGACTTTGACATCCTAGTGGCGATGTTGAGATAAGCAGTTGGATAAGTGAATTTGGAGTTTGGGAAAGAGGTCCAATTATGCATCGGTTTAATCTCCTTGGCCTGTCTCCCATGCTGTCATTCCCTTGCAATCGTTTTCACCTTTATTTCTATTTTCTATTTTGCATTTCTCACATTTCTATACTCTCTTTTCCTTAGACCTTTTTGTGTGAGGTGTATAGCCTCACATATAATTCTTTTCTTTTATTCAGAAATGTTCTTATTGTGTCTTTCTTTCCTGAGTTCCTTTATCTCCTAGCTTTCCTCTTTTGTCTGGCTATTTTTTCCCGTAGTTTCTTTATATTCCTGCTTTATTTTCTTTCCAACTGCAATTATTAGGTTAATTTTTACAAATCACAACTGTAATTTTGCATTTCAATTCTCATGTACTCGTTAGCAAAATCCTCTCAGTGGGTTTCTTTATCAGGGTATTCTTTTCTTTCTTATAGTGCTGAATTTTTCCCTTTTGTTTAACCATATTTTAAAGAGTTGAGTTGTCTTTGACTAGCTGTCAACAAGAGGTTTTGGTTAGAAGTAGTTGCTTTCCAAGTTTCTCAGCTTAATTTTTTCTATCCTCTCTCGCTACAGAGAAACCATAGCGCCTCCTCGCATGCATGATCTATGGCTCCCGCCTTTCGGGACCTACCCTTCCACACTTGAACTCTCACTGCCTTTCTCCCATAGCTGCTGCTACTAAGAGACAGGACTCTTGTCTTCTCAGGTGCCTCTTCACGTTTAGAAGACACTGCTTCTGGAACCCTCTGAATAGCTTCTGTGTGATCCTTTGCTAGTTCCCTCAATATCCACGGCCTGCTTATTTTAGCCCCTCTCCGAGTGGTTCTAGCTCCGAGTTTTGCCTTCTCCTCTCCCGGAGTGTATACTCCTGAGCTTTTCAGTATTGAACTCTCCGGACATCGCTCATTTCTCCCCGCTATACGGTTAGAGCTTCCACTGCCACTTCTGCTGGTTTCAGGTGTGGTGGCTTTTGTAGTGTGTGGATTTTCTTCTTATTGTTTAGCTGAGTCTGTTGCTTGTGCATATGTTTGTTTCTTTCTCCTTTTGGCTTTGTGTAGTTTCCAGGAAAGAAGTGGAGAAATTCAGAAAGAAGTTGCCACAATGTTGCTATCAAAATTACAAGTCCGTCTTCTTTAAAATATAGGGGTGTTTGTTTTTTTCAAATAGATTTATATTCTAAAGGCATAAACATGTCTAGTTTCCTAATCCCATGAATAGCTTTGGCCCCACTATTTCCTTTATATTAGTGTTTATGCTCTGTCTACAATGCACAGTCCTGGTTCGGTTGAGGTAGTGAGAGTGTGAGTATTTTTTTTTAACCCATTATGCTTTTTTATTTTCCTTTAATCCTGTTTTATTTTCTTCAAAGTAACTTTTTCAAAAAATAATTTTTAATTCTGTATTTCATCCTCCTATTATGTCTAGGTTACATTTTACATAGGTGAATTAAAAATAATTTTAGATGCCCTGGAGCATTCATCTCTGTGGCAGGGGAATACATGAGAGGACATAGGAAGCTAGCTCAAAAGTAAATGTTAACATATTTTGTTTGTTAAAGAGGAATATTTAGCATGAAAGTCCCCAGTTAAGAGGATGAAAATCAATCTATAGGCTGAAAGAAAATATTTGCAAGCCACATATCTAACAAAGGACTAGTATCTAGAATATATAAAGAATGCTCAACATTCCAGATTAAAGAAAAAACACAACCATCCAATTTAAAAATGGGCAAATGTCAAGAACAGGCAGTTTACTGAAGAGGATATACAGATGGCAAATGAGCACATGGAAAAATGTTCAACATCATTAGCAATTAGGAATATGTAAATTAAAACCACAATGGAATATCATGAGACACCTATCAGAATGGCTAAATAAAAAACAAGGACAGCACCCAAATGCTACAGAGAAGCTGGGTCATTCATACATTGCTGGTGGAAATACAAAATGTAAGATGGTAAAATTGCTGATGGAAATGCTGGTTCATATTCTGGGAACTTAGCCTAGAGAAATGAAAACTTATGTTCACACAAAAACCTGTACATGAATATTTATAGCTACTTTGTTTGCAATGGTCTGAAACTGAAAAGAACACAGACATCCTTAAACAATGTTTAAACAAACTGTGGTACATTCATACCATGGAATTCTACTCAAAATATAAAGGAATGAACTACTGATGCATACACCAATGTGGATGGTTCTCAATTGAATTATGCCATGTGAAAAAGACAATCCCAAAGGTCCCCATACTATATGATTCTATTTCTATAACATTGTTAAAACTCAGTACTCTATTAGGAATAGAGAGCAGATTAGTAGCTGCCAAGGGTTAAGGAGGAGTCGGTGTGGGAGGGAAATGGGTATGGCTATAAAAGGGACATATTTTCTTGACTTTATCAATGTCAGTAGCTTGGTTATGATACTGTACTATCACTTTGAGAGGTGTTAGCACTAGGTGAAGCAGAGTGATGGTTATTTCTTACACCTGCATGTTAGTCTACATTATCTCAAAATAAAAAGTTTAATAAAAAAAATACAAGCATCACAACTACACATACTGCATATGCTTGGCTTTACTTTGTAATACTCAGAGTGCTGACATTGCACAAAAACAAGAACAGAAGGGAGGCAAATAAGACAGAAAAACCTCGTTGAATTTATAACACCGAACATGGACATTTGCACTGTGCAGTCATTTTGCAATAAGTTACTTTAAATATTACTTGTCAGCAGTTATCTTAACTACTCAGGGTGTTTGAACTTGGCTGTTCTACCCCCGTGACCTGGGTGCCAATTTGTGTTGCAAAAGGACACATTTCTAATGGAAATTTAAGAATTCTCTTTTGGACAAAGTTTTAACAAACAATGAGAATCACTCATCTTCTAACTATTGACTAGCAAACAATTATAGAGAGGGAATTTTGGAAAGGAGTGTAGATTCCAGTGCTGTAGGCAGTTAGACAAGAGCAGAGCAAGGAGGATGGGCCAGGTTACAGAAGGTCAACAGGGTGGAAAGCCTCGGGTGCTTAGCAATGGGCAAACCTGAGGAAACAAGGACCTTGCCCCCAGGGTAACCTTTCCTCCCCTAGCATATTACTGGTCATGTGGTAAGACCCCTCTGACTTTTCATATCTCTGGTCATGTGGTTGGGACCCTCCTCTGATCTTTCCTGCCCTAGCATGTTGTTAGTCATGTGGGTTAGACCCCTTAGAGGCGTTATGAACAAAGCTATTCCAGAGAATAGCTTTTATGCATTGAGGACAACGAGGTTCTGACCCAAATCAATTACATCTAGGCCTCAGTTGTGTTTTAGCTCCAGGCCCAGAAAAGCAGCCAAACCAGACAAGGGACCCCATGGCTGACCTTGGGACCAGCTGCATTGACTAATTACCCTGCCTTGGCACCAGCCAATCCGTGGAAACCACCATTGGATACAGTGGTGGGAAGCTGATGATTGTTCTATTGGGATCCTCCCCTGAGACCTCCAGATAAATACCCTCTAGACCAGCCGTGGGCAAACTACGGCCTGCGGGCCTTTGAAATGAATAAAACTAAAAAAAAAAAAAAAAGACCGTACCCTTTTATGTAATGATGTTTACTTTGAATTTATATTAGTTCACACAAACACTCCATCCATGCTTTTGTTCCGGCCCTCCGGTCCAGTTTAAGAACCCATTGTGGCCCTGGAGTCAAAAAGTTTGCCCACCCCTGCTCTAGACCAGGATCCCAAGGGGCTCTCTCTATGGAGCATGCCCATGCCTTTCCCCGCCCCATTCCCTCAGGCACATTGTACTGAGCCCATTTCTTCTATGGCTCCCTTCTTCTACCTCTGTGAATTTCTAAATAAACTCTCTTATAGTTTGTCTTGGCTCTGAATTCTTTCTTAGCCAGAACTCCAGGTTGCTGCACCAAGGTCCAGTCTGACTCCACCAGTCTAACACCTGTTGCCGTTCTTGCTGCTAACATATGAATCGCGAGTGAAAGAAAATGAGACTTCACTGTTTGGTGGCTCCATGATTATCAAGCCCTCAGTTGCCTGATAGTGTTCAACAGTGTATCACGTGTCTTTTCATGGCAGGTCTAGAAATGACTAATATTGAAGTAGTAATGAACATAAATGGTATTCAGAGATAAAAGTAAGGGTGGTGGTTCTAACAATGGGAAATGTTGGATGAAGTATGGTAAAGTCACTGTGGCCACAGGGGAAATGAAAATAATGATATATTCCCCGCCCCCCAATAAAGGACTTCCTGGAATCAAACCCCTCACTAGAGTATGTTTTAGGCTACTTGGAATGATCTGATAGCAAGGGCAAAACTGAGGATGTAGGAGAGAGAAGGAAGAAATGTAGAACAAAAAGAAGGTAAGAGAGCATGGAAGGGATGTTGGCATTTCACCTTCCACCTGTGTTCACCAGAGGGAAGTATGGAGAATGGGGCAAATGGATAAACTTTGCAGGATTTGGTGGTAGGAAGTTGAGAGTGCTCTTACTTGATTGCTTTTACATTCCCGGTGACATACAAAGCAGGAACACTACCTCACAGTAGAGAAGGTTGGGCAAGTTGTACAGGTAAAATAGTCATTTTGGAAAGTGAGAAAGTGAACACGTTAGAGAACTTTTTAGGATTGCAAGACATTATTGAGTGACCATGAATTTATAGTAAAAACAGTCAACAATTTTGTATATTTTTCTTGAACAAAGTTGAGGTATAGGTTACTTATAACCTACTGAATCTTGAAAACAATGTTCAAATAGTACAGTATTTAGTAAAATTTCTAATAATTACTTCCAATTATTAGTTGGCACTCCAAGAAAGGAAGATGCAACTAAGTAATTACATGATCAGAAGAGAGGTTAAGTATTAGGACAGAATAAATTAGGGTTTATATAATATAGCATTGGCCAAATCAGTCAAAATTTAGAATTAGTTACCATATATAATTATAATAATTTTTTTCTTGACTATAACTTCAGCATTGGGGTTCTTGAGGCATACTGTGTCTTAAACCTAACCCATGACCCAGTAACTTAGTTATCAGAAATGCTTACTAATATGATCTGTATTTATGTGTGTTTTTCAGTATGGACCAATATTTACAGTATTTGCTATGGGAATTCGAATGACCTTTGTTACTGAAGAAGAGGGCATTGATGTGTTTCTAAAATCCAAAGAAGTAAATTTTGAATTTGCAGTGCAAGATCCCGTCTATCGTACAGGTAAAGAATATTCTCAGTTCATTTGAAATATAACGTTGGAATCCCCAAGTAGTTTTAGGTAACAGTGACATCCTTACTCCTATATCAAGAATGATGAGGCTCCATTATTTTATTGTTTAGAGTAAGGGTAGGAGGAGAAAAGAGTATATAATGAGTTTGGTCATTGAAAAACAAAGTATCGGCAGCCTAATACAGTTAGATCTCAATTAGACACGTGAAAGAGATGAGGTTACCTCACGGATGTTTTCTCTGGAAAATATTTGGAATCTGTATCCTGTTACAGCTCCCAAGATGTGGCTAACTGTTCTGCTACTGTGCATACAGTGCTCTTCAGGCTGTAGCTCTTGGCTTGATCACATCTTACTGCTCTGCTCCCTGAAAGTAGAATTCCACTGCTTACTAAGCCCTTTACTAACGGCATTTCCTGACATAATCCATAGGGCTATTAAGGTAAGTGGTGCCCTTTCTCCAATTCTCTGTCCTCGGTGACCTCTGGATTGTACTGGTTAGTGTGTCCGCAGGGTCACGGTCTCCTCTGTTTCTCCCCAGGTCACACACGTGCATGCTGAGCCCATTTGTCCTCCCAGAAATGCAGGGCTAGTTCATTTTGCATCTGGTTCACTTTGCGCCTTTGTTCACAATGTCTGTGCTTGCCTCTACTGACTATAGCTTTTTCCTCTTTGCTTCTTTCTTAGGTTCTTTTGTAGCCTCTCATGCATTTTTTTTTTTTTTTTGCCATTAAAACCAAAAAGTTGGTTTTAAAAGCTCTCAGTGACCAATAGAATGATTATTTTTTCATCTTGCTTTTATGAAAATCACATGTTGTTTAAATTTTATGAGTATTTAGTATACTTCTTGGTATTTGGACTATGGAATTTCAGATCAAAGAATATAAATATTTTGAAATTTCTTGATCTATAAAGTCACATACCCTTCAGAAATATATACCAACCTACTCACCTGTCAGGTACATGAAAGTGATCAAGTTTTTATACCTGTCCCTCCCTTCTGGTGGCTTTCATATTTAAATATTTTTATTTAATAGATGGAAGTATGTTAATTTCTACTTTTGAGCCAGCTTCCAAATTCCTCTCATGTATTCCCCTGCCACAGAGAAGATGAATGCTTCAGGGTATCTAAAAGTTGTTTTTAAATTACCTGTATAAAATGTAACCTAGACATAATAGGATGATGAAACACAAACCTAAAAATTATTTTTTGAAAAGGTTACTTTGAAGAAAATAAAATAGGATTAAAGAAAAATATGAAGGAATAGTGAGTTAAAAACACTTACTTATACTCTCACCACCTCAGCCACAGCAGGAGTGAGTATTGTGGAAGGAGCATGAACGCTAATATAAAGGAAATAGTGGGGCCAATTAATTCATGGGGTGAGGAAAGGACTCCTGGTGGAGTAATATTCAAGAAGATGCTTGAAAGAGGAATAGAAATTAGCAGGAGAAACTTAGGTCTTGTAGGCATGGGGTTGGGAGTGAGTGAGGTTGGTCAAGTAGAGAATGTTCTGAGCAGATAGAACAACTCATGAAAATGCTGGGCTGTATAAAACTGTTTGTTTTCAATATACCTGAAATGTAGATTTGGAGGGGGAAATATCACCAGAGTCCAAAAGTTGGTAGAAAGCCAATGAAAGGTTTAAGCATGAAAATAGCATCACTAGAGTTGTGTTTCCAGAGGCCCACTTATAGATTATACCTTAGAGTAAATTACCCTACAGACTTTTACTATCTTACAATATAGGTTGAATCTTTACCTGGTTTTATTCCCAGGAGGTTATTTTATGTTTTTGGTGAACTTTGGCTATATTCTCTACTGATCAAATAATAGGGGTATATTGACTGCTTCAAGGAGTTGTTGCTTCTTTTAAAAATAGTTTTCTTGTTTATAGCATCAATTCCAAAGAATGTCTTTTTAACACTGCATGAAAAACTTTATATCCTGATGAAAGGGAAAATGGGGACTTTCAACCTCTGTCAATTCACTGGACGACTAACTGAAGAATTACAGGAACAACTGGAGAACTTAGGCACTCATGGGACAAGGGACCTGAACATCTTAGTAAGGTAAATAGACCAATGGTATGAGTTCATCTTGGTTTTTTTGGAATAAAACATTTTAAAGCCTATACATTGGACTTCAGAAATTATCCAGTCGATTAATAAATTCTACCTAACTAGGCAATTAAGAGATTATGTTAATATTTTAAATTCTAATTAATGGGCAGGTTTCAGTTGAGTAGTCCACTTTTATGGTGAGCAAATAAGTCAACACATTTTAATACGTGTACAGTAATTTCTCCTTAGTCATTCCATACAATTGTGTATGCTCTGTATGGACTTACCTCTTACAATTGTCTTGCATCCATCAGATTTTTGATAAAAAATTCAGTGCAATTTGTGATTATTATAACAAATGGATGTTGAAAGGACAAGGGAGAGGATAGAATCATCAAGTACAGCAGTGTTTCCCAACATGGGGCACACGCCCCACAGGGGGGCAATTTGGTTTTTAAGGGGGGCAATTCGAGAATGAGTTATTAACAGTAAGTTTTTTGCATTTCTTATGGTTCTAGGTGCTTCATATGGTATATAAATATATATTGTGACATGTTTATGCATTTCAGTTCTCTATTATATGTTTTGAAACTTTGCTATTTTTTATATCATTTCATATTATTATTTTTAAACAATCTCTTAGTGATTTCTTCCTCAGTACTTCAGCTGTCTTTTTTGTTCTTTTATTTTTCTCTTTCATGGATGCCATGTTTTTTGGAAGTTAATGGCCTTTTGGGCTTCCTCCACATGAATAGGAGTTTACTTTTTGAATAATAAGAATCATATGTCACAGTGCGGGGGACATCAGGATTTTAGACATGCTTAGGTGGGGCATGGCCAAACAATGGTTGGGAACCACTGAAGTAGAGGGTCCAGGAGATGGTGTGAGACATGAAAAGTTGACTGAGGCAAAGTCAACAGAGGCCTCACCCCAGGTGCCTCCTGGAGGGGAGGTGCTGAAAGGCGGATGAGATAGGAAAGGGCAGTAGAGGAACCAGGCAGCATGTCAGCCACATTCTGAAGCTTTCTGGCGAATGGAAGGTCTGGGCATGGGAACCAGGAGAGAAATTTCCCATGTACACAAGGAGAGGTGGGAAATTGAAGTTACCTTGGGCACTTTTCCATCTCAGTGGGATACTGAGATGCTGAAGGCGGGATTCAATAGTTCAGACTCATAAAACAGAACGACACTTAATGTTTTGTTAGTGGTTAGAAAGAGAGAGAAAAAAAGAACAAAGACAACCAACCAACCAAACTTTTGGCATGCCCCACATGTACAACAAAACAGCAAATTCTCAGCTATCTGTGAAACTTTGGAGAAAATAAATAAAAATGAAATTAACAGTACTCAGTGTTACCAATCTAGGGCATATTAACTATCATTGATATTCTTTTACTTAAGTATGCCACAGAAATAATTTTATTCACTTATGGTAAAACTTAATTATACATACTATATTTCATTATAGAATAGTTCACATTTGTAGGATCCTGTAGACATTAGGAAATTTGGTGAGTAATATTTCCCTTGATTCTTTGATTATTTTTTGCTGTTATCTAAAGGCATGGACTATATCTTAGATATAATTTGTTAAATTAATGATTTTTAAAATTGCATTGAATCAGTTTATTTTTGTGCATCTAACATTTGTCAGAATCTAAGAATGCTTGCTTAGAAAGCATTTTAAAATCTTCAGATAAATAAGACTACAGTTTCAGTTACCCTGGTCATTTTTTTTTTTAATGTTTTTGTTGATTTTAGATAGAGAATGGGAGAAGTAAAGAGATATAGAAACATCAGTAATGAGAGAGAATCATTGATCAGCTGCCTCCTGCACACCTCCTACTGGGGATCAAGCCCCAAGCCCCAGCATGTGCCCTGACTGGGAATTGAGCCTTGACCTCCTGGTTCATGGGTCGACGCTCAACCATTGAGACACACCAGCCGAACACCCCTGAGTCATCTTGACAATATCCAAATATTAAAACCTGTTAAGGGTAGCTTTTCCCCCCAAAAAATCTATCATGTATTATTTTCTACTCCTTATATATAGCTATTAAATAATGCCCTCTTTTGTATCCTGACTTTATATTCTCCTGGTCATTGGGTCTGACTTTCCACATGCTTCTCTTTTTATAGGCATCTCCTTTATCCAGTCAGTGTGAATATGCTCTTTAAAAAAGGTTTGTTTCCCACAAACAAGAGGAAAATCATGGAGTTCTACCAGCATTTTCAAACTTATGATGAAGGTTTTGAACATGGGTCCCAGATGCCAGAATATCTTCTAAGGTAGAACTTGTTTCCTACAATTAATTCATTGACCAAGCTCCTCCCAGCAATTCATACGTCTCTCATTTCTCTGTCCAGCGTAGATATAACAGTTGAGTGGAAGAGAGAGAACTGTTTTTTATGACTGGCTTGTGTTTGAAGGAGGAACAGAAGATCTATGCATGGTTTCTTTTTTAATTTTGAGGAGCAAATCCTTGAAAGGGAGGGAGAGGGAGAGGGAGAGAGAGGAAAAGAGAGGAAATGAATATGAATGTGAATATTAGAATAAAGTGAAGAATTTATTTGAGGTTTATCCCATTTACAGTTCATAGTCACACTCATTGCTACAGTTTGGACCTGTGTTAAACTGTCCAGTGTGACTAGTCTCAGAATCAGACATTGTCATCCTCATTCTCTCTGAGGCAAAAGTAGATGTGGTTTAATGCATTTCTCAAAGTGGCTCAGATAAATATTTATAAAATGCCTCGAATAAAAAGTAGCTTGTGATTTTTTTTATCTCTTGGCAGTTGGTTTACAGTGGTCAATGGTCAGAAAGATTAAAAAAACATAGCCAGTTTGCTTTACCTGGTTTAAGACAGCAATGGGTCCCCGTGCTAGCTTTTCATCCTTCTGTAAGTGACAACAGCCAGAGTAAAAGTATTTTACTCTGAGTTCTGTTTTCTTGTTCAGTGCCAATCCTGTAGGAATTCAAACATATATCTGTAAAAAACACTACAGTTGTCCCTTACAATTTTCCTTATGGACTAATACGTCTGAGGGTACACCTATCATGAAATTCTAGCTGAAGATGAAAAATTTGGAGAAATAATTGTAATTCTATAGACATCCCCCATTTCATACTGTGACCTATTCTAAAGTGCTTTCAAATTAATTTATACACATTTTTTCTCTTGCCTAGAAACTGGTCAAAATCCAAAAGGTGGTTTCTAGAATTTTTTGAGAAAAACATCCCAGATATAAAAACAAACAAATCTGAAAAAGATAATTCCGTGGTAAGTACACCCTAAAATACATGAGATGAAGACAATGGAACTTTTTAAATCATAGCAACTCTAATTCCCTATTTGAATCAAGACAGATTTTGAACTTTGCTGATGCTCATTCATTGTTTAAGACTTTGGGACAGAATTCAGTGTGAACGTTCACAAGCAGTTTAACTTCATCTTTGTATGTATTGCTTCTGTTTCCCTCGAGAAGTTTCCTGTTTTGATCCCCACACTTTTTTTTAACGTGGGCTAAGAAGAAAATAAAAGATTCTGTTGTGTTCTACATAAGTGGATTTCAATGGCCTACTTAAGCAGAGGACTAAAAGAAGTTTTTTTGTTTTTGTTTTTCAAATATTACACACCCATGTTATTACATTAGAAATATCAAATGTGGTGATTTCTTCCATGTGTCTAAATGTATATTAAACGAGTATTTCCATTTACAGAATGGCATATCAAAACAATTAAATACATCTGTAGGGTTTTTCATGAGATATAAACTTTGTGTTATAACAGCTTCCATTGTAAGTATGGTAGAAACCAGCTTTAAATGAAATTTATCCTTAAACTATTTTCAGTTCTGCTAATCCATTGTTACAAAAAACAATAACAATAAGACACTACTGACGTTTATGGGCTGCATACTCCATGCCAGGCACAGTGTTACACAGTCACAGATTCATTTCTCATTTATTTTCTGCAACTTTCATACCCAGAAAACTGGGGGTTATTAAAACCAGAAAGCTGGGGATTAGAGTGGTTAATCACTTTTGAAACATTACGTGCCTTAGTAAGTAACTGCAACTGCCTCTCATCATATATTTTCTTTGGTAGTGATTTAATAGTTATTTTATGTATTGTAGGATCTGAAGCAAAACTAGTACATATGGTACAAGGCAGTTCTCCTAACCCCTAATCCTTGAGAGTTATGGGTTGTGCTTCTAAGGGGGCAGTAGAGTATAGCAGCTAAGAGTGTGGGCTCTGGAGCCAGCGCCAAGCTCACAGGGTCTGTATCCCAGCCCACCATCTAGAAGATATATGTCCCTGGCAAAGTCCCCTAACTTAATCATACTTCAGTTGACTCAAATGTAAAATGGTCAAGTATTTACGTCTTGGAGTTGGGTGAGGATTGAATGGGTAAAATACTTGTAAAGCACCTGAAACGGTATTTGCCTTAGCAAGCAATGACTAGACAGTAGCTACCATTATTTCCATCACCTATGCCTGAGTTATTTAAGACTCAAAGTGCACAAGTAACTTAATGAAAATGCTCTAGTGCAGTGGTTCTCAACCTGTGACAGGGGTCCCCTAAGACCATCCTGCATATCAGATATTTACATTACGATTCATAACAGTAGCAACATTACAGTTATGAAGTAGCAACGAAATAATTTTATGGTTGGGTCACAACATGAGGAACTGTATTTAAAGGGCCAGAAGGTTGAGAACTACTGCAGTGTCTGAATTCCTTCCTCATGCTGGGGAACAGGCATAGGCAAACCTGGGGACACCTTTCTATGAGGAAAATACCCTCAGGGTATTTGTGTGATGACCTGAGAGTAACCATAGTAGCCAACCTTGGGTGAGGCTGTAATCTGACCCAGAGCCATTCAGGCAAACATCAGTTTTCCACAGGGTTTTAGAGAATGACGGTATTTACAGTACACTGGCCATGCAGTTTTCTCTCATGGGGTGTAGCCTGAGAATCTGCATGGAGAATGGCAGTAGGGTTTTCTCCTGAATGCTCCAGAGAGCTGTGTTTCTTTTCCAAAGAGTAGAGGGGTGTGTGTGTGTGTGTGTGTGTGTGTGTGTGTGTGTGTGTGTGTTTAAAGTAACATTTGTCAAAATGGCAAGTTATTTCATCCTTACCACAATCCTATGACCATTTTATAGATGAAACTGAGACACAAAGAGTTTAACTTGTCTGAGGTTACCCAATTCTTAAATAACAGCCAAGTTTTAGTTCCTCATGAAAGAATCTTGGAGGTTGTCATTTCATCCTCTCAAGAAAGAACCTGAACAGACTGAAAAATCAACAACTCTTGGATCCACTAGAGAGGGAGGATACAGGGCAAACCATTGGCCTCAAGAATGGAGAGAACAGTAGGCAAATACCGGATATTTTGTTAAGGATTTTTGCTCTATGTTTATGAGAGATATTGGTCTGTAGTTTTCCTTCCTTACTAGAGGCCTGGTGCCTGGGATTCATGCATTGGTGGGGGACATGGCCTGTGGGGATTGGCCCACTGTGGGAGCACTGCTCATCCTAATCAGCCAAGTGGCACACTGTGTTGAGCATCTGACCCCTGGTGGTCAGTGTGCGTTATAGCGGCTGGTTGACCAGTTGTTCTGGTTGTCCCCCCCCCCCGCCCCCCCGTTCGGTCCCTGGGCTTTTATAGGATAGAACTAGAGGCCCGGTGCACAAAAATTTGTGCACTCAGTGGGGAGGGGGGGTCCCTTAGCCCGGCCTGTGCCCTCTCACAGTCTGGGACCCCTCGGGAGATAACGACCTGCTGGCTTAGGCCTGCTCCCGGGTGGCAGAGGGAAGGCCCAATCCCTAGGTGCAGCCCCTGGTCGGGCTCAGAGCAGGGCTGATTGGGGAGTTGGGGCGCTGCCCCCTGTCATGCACAGAGCAGGGCGGATCGGGAGGTTGCGATGCCACCCCTAGTCACGCTCAGGGAAGGGCTGATTGGGGGATTGGGGCACTGCCCCCTGTCACACTCAAGGAAGGGTCGATGGGGAGGTTGCAGCGCCGCCACCTGTCACGCACAGAGCAGGGCCCATCAGGAGGGTTGGGGCGCCTTCCCCTGTCACGAACAGAGCAGGTCAGATAGGGAGGTTGTGGCCCCACCCCCTGTCACATACAGAGCCACAGGGCGATCAGGGGGTTTGGGCGCTGCCCCCTGTCACGCTGATCCCGGTGCCGGGAGGCCTCGCGGCTCCGCTGATTCCGGTGCTGGGAGGCATATTACCCTTTTACTATATAGGATAGAGGCCTGGTGCACGGGTGTTGGCCGGCTGGTTTGCCCTGAAGGATGTCCTGGATCAGGGTGGGGGTCCCCACTGGGGTGCCTGGCCAGCCTGGATGAGGAGATGATGGCTGTTTGCAGCTGGTCACACACCCTTCAGGGTGGGGGTCCCCACTGGGGTGCCTGGCCAGTCTGGGTGAGGGGCTGAGGGCTGTTTTCAGGCTGGCAGGTGACTGAAGCTCCCAACCGCTCCTTTTTTTCTTTTTTCAAAAATTCTGGGCCAGCTTTAGCTCTGAGGCTCCAGCTCTTAGGCCTCCACTGTTAAAAGCAGGTTTCTGGCCTTTGTTTACCTTCTGTATTTGAAACAATGTTGCGATCCTGGTGGCTGAAGCCCTGCGACTAAAGCAGGTTTCTGGGGTTTTGTTTAGCTTCTATATTTGTAACATAGTTGCTTAGAGTTGCAGCTCAGAGGCTGGCAGTGGCAGGCGGGGAACGTTGGAGTCTTCCATCACTGAAGCAAGCAAGCCTCATGTTCGCTTTAAGCTGCCTGGCTGCCGGCCGCCATTTTGGCTGGCAGTTAATTTGTATATTGCCCTGATTAGCCAATGGGAAGGGTAGCGGTCGTACGCTAATTACCATGTTTCTCTTTTATTAGATAGGAATAGAGGCCCGGTGCACAAAAATTTGTGCACTCGGGGGGGGGGGGGAGGGGGATCCCTCAGCCTGGCCTGTGCCCTCTCACAGTCTGGGAAACCTCGGGAGATAACGACCTGCTGGCTTAGGCCTTCTCCCAGGTGGCAGAGGGCAGGACCAATCCCTAGGTGCAGCCCCTGGTCGGGCTCAGAGCAGGGCCGATTGGGGAGTTGGGGCGCCGCCCCCTGTCATGCACAGAGCAGGGCGATCGGGAGGTTGTGATGCCACCCTCAGTCATGCTCAGGGTAGGGCCGATTGGGGGGTTGGGGCACCGCCCCCTGTCACACTCAAGGCAGGGTCGATGGGGAGGTTGCAGCGCCACCCTCTGTCACGCACAGAGCAGGGCCAATCAGGGGGTTGGGGCGCTGCCCCCTGTCACTCACAGAGCAGGGCCCATCAGGGGGGTTGGGGCTCCTTACCCTGTCACTCACAGAGCAGGGCCAATCAGGGGGTTGGGGCGCTGCCCCCTGTCACGCACAGAGCAGGGCCCATCAGGGGGTTGGGGCACCGCCCTCTATCACCCACAGAGCAGGGCCGATCAGGGGGTTGGGGCACCACCACTCTCACACTCAGGGCAGGGCTGATGGGGAGGTTATGGCTCTACCCCGTCACACACAGAGCAGGGCCGTGGGGGGTGGGGGGGGGCGCCGCACCCCTCACACACAGAGCAGGGCCGATCAGGGGGTTGGGGCGCTGCACCCTGTCACACACAGAGCCGCAGGGCGATCGGGGTTGGGGAGCTCCCCCCATCAGGCACAGAGCAGGGCTGATCAGGGGGTTGGGGCGGCCTTCCAATGTCACGAAAAGAGCAGGGCAGATAGGGAGGTTGTGGCCCCGCCCCCTGTCACACACAGAGCCACAGGGCAATCAGGGGGTTTGGGCGCTGCCCCCTGTCACACTGATCCCAGTGCCGGTAGGCCTCACGGCTCCGCTGATCCCGGTGCTGGGAGGCATATTACCCTTTTACTATATAGGGTAGAAGCCTGGTGCACGGGTGGGTGCTGGCTGGTTTACCCTGAAGGATGTCCTGGATCAGGGTGGGGGTCCCCACTGGGGTGCCTGGCCAGCCAGGGTGAGGGGATGATGGCTGTTTACAGCTGGTCACACACCCTTCATGGTGGGGGTCTCCACTGGGGTGCCTGGCCAGTCTGGGTGAGGGGCTGAGGGCTGTTTTCAGGCTGGGGGTGACTGAAGCTCCCAACCACTCCTTTTTTTCTTTTTTTCTTTTTTTAATTCTGGGCCAGCTTTAGCTTTGAGGCTTGGCTCCAGCTCTTAGGCCTCCGCTGCTGAAAGTAGGTTTCTGGCCTTTGCTTACAATGTTGCGATCCTGGTGGCTGAAGCCCTGTGACTAAAGCAGGTTTCTGGGGTTTTGTTTAGTTTCTATATTTGTAACATAGTTGCTTAGAGTTGCAGCTCAGAGGCCTGAAGCGGCAGGCGGGGAACGTTGGAGTCTTCCATCACTGAAGCAAGCAAGCCTCATGTTAGTTTCAAGCTGCCTGGCTGCCGGCCACCATTTTGGCTGGCAGTTAATTTGTATATCGCCCTGATTAGCCAATGGGAAGGGTAGCGGTTATACGCCAATTACCATGTTTCTCTTTTATTAGATAGGATAGGATAGGATAGGATAGGATAGGATAATATCTTTGGTTTTGGTATTAGGGTCATGTTGGCCTTGTAAAATGAGTTAGGACGTGCTCCCTCTGTTACTATCCTCTGAACGAGAATTGGTGTAAGTTCATTTTAAAATGTTTGGTAGAAAGCCTGGTGCTTTCTGTTTTTGAAAGTTATTAACTATGGACTTAATTTCTTTAACAGATGTAGTCCTGTTTAAGTCATCTGTCTCTTTTTGTGAGAGCTTTGGCAGATTGTGTCTTTCAAGGGAGTGGTCCATTTCATCTAGGTTATCATATTTGTGGGCAAAGAGTTGTTGAAAGTATCCCTTTATTATATATTTTTTAACTTTTAAATGTTTTTTTAAATTGATTTCAGAGAGAGGAAAGAAGATAGAGAGAGGAAAATCCCAAAATAAAAGGAGTAAAACAACACACTTCTAAATAACTCATGGGCCAAAGAGGAAAACTTGGGAGACATTAAAAATATTTTGAAACAAATGAAAATGAAAACTAAGCCTACCAGATTTGGGGATGTAGCAAAAGCAGTGCTTATGGCAGCTTTATTCATAATTGTCAAAACTTGGAAGGAATCTTGATGCCCTTCAGTGTGTGAATGGATTATTTTGAAAGATACATGTTATTATAGATTTGTCCATACCCATAGAGTGTACCATACTAAGAGTGAACCCTAAAGTAAACTATGGACTTTAGGTAATTATGATGTGTCAATGCAGGTTCATCCTTGGTGAGAAATGTAATTTACTGCTGAGTGATGTCGATAATTGGGAAGGCTGCGCATGTGTGGGGTAAGGGTTATAAGGAAATCTCTGTACCTTCCTCTCAATTTTATTTTAAATCTAAAAAAAAAAATAAAGTCTTAAAAAACAAACAAAACTAAGGCAGGTTTTGAAGCAATAGAGTAAGGGAGTTGAGCTCCAGAGTCCCTACTCCTAATCACTGAACAAGGAATAAGTATGTAAATCCCTTACATGCCTCAAACTGCAGACCTGGGAATGGCAGAAATAATACCTTTTGGATAAAAGAAAAATGTGTGGTCTTTTGTTTACCAATATCAGTCTTTGTCACATAGCTGTGGCTTGACGATACTTATTTCTTTTCAACAGACACTAATGCAGGCGCTACTGGAAATCATAGAGACGGAAACAAATGAGCAAAGTCCAAACTATGGGCTTCTACTCCTTTGGGCTTCTTTGTCCAATGCTGTCCCTGTAAGTATGTCAGTAAAGTAAGGGCTGCATTTCCGTCTATGCACTCTCAATGTTCCCTTCATTTTCCTTCCTTCCTCCCTTCCTTCCTCCCTTCTTTCCTTCCTTCCCTCCTTCCTTCCTCCCTCCCCTCCCTTCCTCCCTCCCTCCCTCCCTCCCTCCCTCCCTCCCTCCCTCCCTCCCTCCCTCCCTTCCTTCCTTCCTTCCTTCCTTCCTTCCTTCCTTCCTTCCTTCCTTCTTATGGGGAAGAAAAAGACTGCAGTAGAGTTGTCTGTGAGATAGAAAAATAAGACTTAGTATCTAATGAAGTCTGATAAGATCACAGAGAAGGCAAAGTGGAGATCAATGGGAATTCCGTGTCTAAGGTGCAGCATGTCACAGGCTAAGGAAGAAGCTTGCACTCTGGGTCAGCTGTGACAACACCTGCTTATGGAGCACTTCTCTGTCGGGCAGTGTGCTTAGTTAGCATGGGTGCTGCAGAGACAAAGAAGGCTTGACCCTTACCTTTTATTGGGGAGTGAGTGGGTTAACAGATAGTTTCAGATAGAATTGCACTTGAATCCAGGTATCCCCAGTCACAGCTATAGAATCTCACGGAGGTAATTTCAACTCTGAGCTTCCATTTCCTTCTCTTAAAAAGGGTATAAGGAAACTCCTAGTGAGGTCCTAGGCCAGTGATGGCGAACCTTTTGAGCTCGGTGTGTCAGCATTTTGAAAAACCCTAACTGCACTCTGGGGCCGTGTCACATATAGAAATTTTTTGATATTTGCAACCATAGTAAAATGAAGATTTATATTTTTGATATTTATTTTATATATTTAAATGCCATTTAACAAAGAAAAATCAACCAAAAAAATGAGTTTGCGTGTCACCTCTGACACGCGTGTCATAGGTTCGCCACCGTTGTCCTAGGACTTGGGTACTTATTAATAGTAACTCTCATTTCTCTGCAAGGTTGTTGTTGAGGATTCAAGATAAGCCCCTCTGGTACCTGGTGAATGTGGGTTCTTTGTCTTCCTCATCCCCTTCTCCTTCTGTACACCTCCTGTTTGCATTACCTGCCATCTTGGTCCTGTAAGCTTCCCTATAAATGGAGCTGGTGGCATTGGAATGCACAATACTTCTGAAGAGAGCAGACACTGTGTAACTTATTTTTATAAAGCTCCTCTGAGCTAGATTAAAGCCATGAGCTTTGTCTGCCTCTTCAGGTTCGATGCATACCGGCTTCCTGTGTTGGGAGGATTTCACATTAGCCTAAGCTGCACTTATATTATCTGAGAAATTAAAGGATGACCTTTTTTATACACTTATTTTTTCCTTAACAGGAACATTCAGATCATCTATAATGATAAATGTGGTCATTTTTCTTTGAGCAAAGAGAAATAAGATATGTTAAGTATTATTTATATCTTCTTCCTCTTATGAAGGTCAAGGCTAGTAAAGGCTTTCTAACTACTGACATTCTAGTTTCCTTTAACCTGCTTCAAAACTCACTGGGTAAAGAGCAGCAATAGAAATTTCAGCCTCCCTGCCCAAATGTGTGTCAACCACTAGAATATGTAAAATAGTCTAATTAATCCTTTTCCTTTCTTTATGTACCAAGAATATTAATCTTTGATTTTTCCTTACATAATTTTCTTGGAAGCTGATGAACCAATAGCAAAATTAAAAAGGAAACATGAAAACAACTCCCAAAGCAGCAACAAAACAGCCACTCCTGTCACAGGATTGATTTTCAAGATCCCATTAGAACAGTCCCACGGAAGACAGGGACACAAAGCCCCATTGATCTGACTCGGGGGAAGTCAGCACATTGGAATTTGTTCCTGGCACCGGTCTGAAAGGAATTAAATCCTTAATTGCAGAAAGGAAGTGTCTGATGATTGTTCAAAGTTCCATCTTGCTGACTGTTGTTGGCACTTCCAAGGGGCAGCTGGTGTGTAGGCAGAGACCCTAGAAGGTTTTAGGTCAGGTCCAAAGCCAAATCCCAGTGCTGGGTGACAGCCGGTAAATTGTTTAACCTCTCTGAGCCTCAGTGTCCTCATCTGTAATATAGATTTAACTAGAGGACCAGTGCATGAAATTTGTGCATGGGTAGGATCCCTAGCAGCTGCCAGCTGCCAGCCAAGCTTCCCTTCCCTGGACACTGGCCAGGTCCTTCCTTTGTTCCATGCCATCCCATGGTGGTCAGCACGTCATAGCGAGCGGTCGAGCTTCTGGTTGGTTGAACTCCCCCACCCAAGGGGACAATTTGCATATTAGCCTTTTATTATATAGGATGATATCTTCCTCATAGGGTCGTTGTGAGAATTATATGGGTAGTAAATGGAAATAGCTAACTGTCCATGGCACAAGATAGGTGCTCAATAAATGTTAACTTTGTTCTCTTATAAAAAGTAAAGCCGTGGTTTCAATCAGCCATTTTCAATGGTCCATTAGGAATCACCTATCCTGGCTTCCAAAACGTGACCGCTCACATGCCCCAGGGCAGGAGCGGCCTCTGCTGTACTGGTTTCTGTGTTCTCCCATCATTGCCTGGAGAGCTGCTGAACACCTGCCAGAGGTGTAGGTGGCGGGCGTGACATTTCTTGGTTCCCAAATATCTTAGCATTTGTCCTACTCTGTGCTCTGCCTGGGGGCCCGCTGGGCTCAGAGCGCAAGCTTCGAATAGGCTTGGTACAGGGCCCTGGGAGGCTCCATTGTCACCGAGGTGAACTGTGGTGGGCTGGCCCAGGTATTAGCTACGATGTATGAAATTGTTTCTATGCTAAAACCATTTCCAAGGTCCAAGAACTTTTCAAGAACATTTTTGCAAGTCTAATCTCAAAACTGACATTTTTCCTTTTTTAAAATCATCTTCCCTGAAGCTCTTTTCTAAACACTTTCCATAGTGACCTTCACTTTATTGTCTGTGCCATCCATTCCCTCTATAGCAGTGGTTCTCAACCTTCCTAATGCCGCGACCCTTTAATACAGTTCCTTATGTTGTGGTGACCCCCAATTTCATTGTTACAAATTGAACATAATTAAAGCATAGTGATTAATCACAAAAACAATATGTAATTATATATGTGTTTTTCGATGGTCTTAGGCGACCCCTGTGAAAAGGTTGTTCGACCCCCGAAGGTGTCGCGACCCACAGGTTGAGAACCACTGCTCTATAGTTATTTTTTTCATCTCTTATCCCCAACTAGAAGTGTAAGTTCTTTGGGCAGGAATTATGACTTATACCAATTTGTGTTTATCATGATTGGCCAAAGACTACTAACATGTTATAGAGACTCCATCAATATTTGTTAAATCATTTTTTTTCAATGAAGGGATAAATGATGCTCAATTCATCATCTTGATGACACAGTGAGGCAGAGCTTTTCTCTCTGTCCCTATCACCTTTGTTCTTACCTCTCCAGAGCAGTGGGAAGGCATGGCAGTGGCTGCTTCTGAAGGTCACTGAGCCAGGGGCCCTTCCCCTTTTTGCTCAGCCCTCACCATGGACTTGACCCCTTTGGCAAAACATTAATTGGTACCTTTGGGAGCACTTTTTAACTCCTTTCCCCTATGTGGGTGAACAAAGACCTCAAGGTCACTTCTTCTTGTTTGTTGATTCAGTAATGTATGTGAGCATTACTTTTGACTCTTTTTGCATGCCGTTCATTTTTTAAAGTGATTTCGTTTTCTAAAGCAGAAAATAAAGATGTTTAGAAGCAAAGTCTGTTAAGAAAAAAAGCATTAAAAATTATCACTAGCACCATTATACAGCTATTTATAGTTTAGCTGAATTTCTTGTATTTGTTATAAAAAGGTATTATAGGTGAATCTCTAAAAGTCTAATTAAGCACATACAACTTTAGGCCCTTCTTTCGCATAACTGAAAATCTATGTATGACACTAAGCCTTCCCCTAGTCCCCCAGCATGATCTCTGACTCTTGAAATAAGATGAATTGAGTATGGAGTCACTATTAATTAAATACAGTAATTCAGCACTTCCATCTATGGAAAATAGTAGAACAGGCCTGAGTGGGGAGGCAGGAGAAGAGAGCTCTCTGGGAGTCTTACTCCTACTGTAAAAGCACACTAGATGATCCATCTCTAGGGTAATTCTTTTGTAATCTGGAAAATGCCACAGAAAGTGGGCCCCCCATTGTAGTGAGTGGCCTGGGTTTAACACAATGATCCCTTCCCTGCAGTTTAATGTCTCAGAGGGGAAACAATAAGCAGCATTGAACTTGACTTTGTGGGAGCACTTCCTTTCACATAATTGCTCTTCCACTTTTGACCACAGAGGGGAGTACTGGAATTATTTTAAGGTCCCCCAAGTTACTTCACAAAAGGGATAGACTTAAGTGACAGGAAGTGTTGTCTGGGTCATATTTCAGGACTGGTTTTCCTTGATGAAATTTCTTTCACAATACAGTATTTACTGAAGAAAAAAAAAAGAAAGCAAAATTCAAGCTTCTTTAAATGATTTTATGTAGGTTTTCTATGTTGTGTAACCTAAAAATAGAAGTAAAAACATTTACCTGAGTTGAAGAAAAGCTAGTTTTTGAGATGTGTTGCAGTATAGTTTTATTTTATGATACTACAATGAGGAAAGATCTGAAATACTTCTGTCTGGTCTGGAGAGAGAACTTGCAAGAATACTGCGTTCGGTTATAACCTATGAACTTTTGAGCATGTCATTATGTTCAGTAGGGTGTGAAAGGACCCCATTTTTATATGGAGTACTCTCATAATTTAGTGTATGAGATTTTAGATATGGTATCTGGGGTTTACTTAAAATTGCCATGTTTCATTTGCAGACTATATGATTTGACAATTCGTTTGTATTTCAAGGAAATTAAATCTTTAAAATCTTTTTGTTTTGGACTTGGATTAACAGTCTTAAGTGGCATAATTTTTTGTTCCTAAATATTCACTGTATGCCTGCCCTGGCCAGTGTTCTGAGTGGTTAGAGTGTTGGCCCTTGCACTGAAGGGTCTCAGGTTCGATTCCCAATCAAGGGTACATACCTGTTGCAGGCTCCATCCCTGGCCCTGGTTGGGGTGTGTTCAGGAGGCAACTGATCCATGTGTCTTTCACATTATGTTTCTCTTGCTCTTTCCCTCCTTACCTTTCCTCTCTTCCACTCACCCTAAAACAACAACAACAACAATGGAAAAACTAGTTTCCTGGGGTGAGGATTAATAAAACAAATAAGCAAAACAAAAAATATTCACTGTATGCCTATGTAATATTTTATATTGTACATTTGTAAAAGAAATCCCACTTTTCACATTTTTTATGTAGATTAATCTATATAAACAACATAATGAAACTATAATCAGAATAAAATTATAAATTGGACCTCTTAGAGATAAATACTCTCTCTTTTGTTCATAAAACTTGGTTGTTTTCAAAGATGTTCTTCACTAACGTGCTTTTAAGTTTAATTTAAAGAATCTCCTTGCTTATTTTATTTATTTTTTGTTTTTAAAAAATCTTTATTATTGAAAGTATTACATATGTTTGAGGCTAATACTAAGTCTGCATTTGTTTACTTTCAAAGAAGGTTGTAATTTTTGATATATGTTTTTCTTTTTAAGATTGCATTTTGGACACTTGGATTTATCCTCTCTCAACCCAGTATTCATAAGGCCATTATGGAAGGCATATCATCTGTGTTTGGCGCAGCAGGTACGAAAGCTGAAATAAATTACATAATTGAAGAAACATCAAATAATGTGTGCTCATTACACATCACGAGCAAAGTCAAAAGCCCGTAATTTTATATAAATTTCTTATAGTCCAAAATTGTGTGTCTACAGATGATGAGAGGGAATGTGTCCTTGATTGTCACGAATTCTCCTGTACCATTTCCTCACTAGACCCTTGTCCTGACATAGGGCTTTCCAAATTCTTGGTCTTTAGGAAATAAAAAGGTACAGATGGGAATGGTAGGAATAATGTGGCAACCTATCTGACCCCAAGCCACAACACAAATATTACATTAATCTAAATGACTACAATGCTTGAAGCTTGAATTATTGAACACAGTGCTAATGGAGAAAGAGGAATCTTTTTCTCTTCTACATGATCTGTTTATTTTTAGAATCTATTATTTTCCTTTAACAGAAAATTGTTCCTTCAAATGTAGTACCAGCTATACTTATGTCAATGCTTCCAGTTTATGACACTATTGTAGAATTGAAAACGATTTATAAAAAAATATATCAATCATTTCTTGCCATGCCTCTATAGTTCGGATCAGCGCATGCATAAGCCGTAGGAGTAGCTCAGGAATTTAGATGTTGTGAGAGGAGACTACAGGTCTTTGGCGGTTGATATCAAGGAAGATATCCACGTACCCGTACAAAGGATCCTGTCAAAGAACCAACGTTCGAGTGCATGGAACAAGGATCTGACTCAGGATGGCAGTTTTCCCATTTGTATGCTCTTTTCTATCACAAGATCACGATTTCCTTCTTGGAGATGCCCTCGGTGAATTTCCAATTCTGCATCTCTCTGGCCTCAAAACTCACCCCTAGAGCCCATCACAGATACTTTACCTATCTTTCTTATAACACAAGTTTAAGGGTAAAGGTTACTACTGTTGCATACTTGGTCTTTTGTGTCAGGCTTCTTTCACTTAACATAATGTTTTATATTGTGATGTTTTACGTTAATTGATTTTCAGATGTTGAACCACCCTTGTATTGCTGGGATAAATCCTACTTAATCACGGTGCATAATCCATATAAAACATATAATTTTTATATATCACTGGATTCGGTTTGTTAGTATTTTGTTGAGGAATTTTACATTAACATTAATAAGGGATATTAGTCTATAGTTTTCTTGCAATGTTTTGGGGTGGTTTTGATAGTAGGATAATTCTAGCTTTATAGAATATCTTCAGAAATGTTCCCTATTGTTCTATTTTTTTTTTTTTGGTAGAATTTTTAAAGGATTGGTGTTAATTCTTCATTAACCATATGGTAGAATTCACCAGTGAAGTAAACTAGTCCAGAGATTTTCTTTGTGAGAGGGTTTTTAAAAAATTAAATATCTCCACTTACAAGCATATTCACATTATCAATTTCTTCTTGAGTTTAGTTTTGTAACTTTTTAGGAATTTGCCCATTTCATCTAGGTTATTTAACTTGTTGGCATACAATTATTCAGAGTATTCCCCATAATCCTTTTTCTTTCTGTTAGGTCACAAGGAAAACATCTCTCCCTTTTGGTAATGTGTTCTTTTTCTTTTTTTCCTCCCTCCCCCTTGGTCAATGTAGCTAAAGAGTTGCCAGTATTGTTTACAAAGAACTAACTTTTGGTTTTGTCTATTTTGTTTGATTTTATTTTTTCTTTTGATATTCTAGTTTATACTTCATTTATTTCTATTCTAATCTTTATTGTTTATAATTTATATCTCTTTATTGATACTTAGTTCTTTGATTTGACTTTTTCAATTCTTTGGATATATTTAAACAATCTAAGGTCTTTTTTAGTAAGCCCAATATCTGAGTTTCTTCAGGGATACTTTATATTGATTGCTTTTTTTCTCTGTGTATGTTTAGTATTTTTTGTTTCATGTCTTATTTCATATTTCCTTTTGCATATCTTACCATTTTTTGCTGAAAACTGGATATTTTTAATAACATAATGTGGCAACTCTGGAAATCAGATTCTCCTCTCAGGTTTATTGTTATTGCTGCTTATTGTTGTTTGTTTTAGTGACTTAGTTTGTATTCCTTATCATATGTGGCCACTTATGTCTCTACTTTGTTAGTTTAGTGGTCAACCGATACTTGAGCAGAGTATTTTTACACTAGGAACCAACAAGTCTCCCATTTTTTGCCAAGGGGCTCTGTGTGCATGTTGAGGCTTATTTCAACACGTGGCCGGCAATTGACAATTCTGCCTTAGCTTTTACTTCCTGCTTGCACAGAACCTCAAAGTCAGCCACTGGTGAAACATTGGGACTTCTCAGGTCTTTTCGGAGCATGAGTAAAGCCCTGGGCATTTGTTCAGTGCTGCACAAGTGCATGGCCTTCCATATTTCCAGGAATGCACTGGAACTCTTCAAAGCCCTTAGGACATCTCATTTCCTAGCTTTTTATTTTAATATTTTGGGTTTACTTGTTGTTTGTCCCAATTGTTATCTCTTGCTTCAGGTAGCTGCCAAGTTAAACAATTATCTTTAAAAGTTTTCAGCCAACATCCCGGAGGAAAAGACTTTTTCCAGTGGGGAGCTCCAAGTCAGGTCAGATCAAGACAGTCTTGCAAGTGGGATTTTCCAGGGGACTGCCACACAGGTCAAGTAATGATAATTTTCTAGGAACGAAGCTTCGGAGTAGTTCCAACCCTATTCTACCCCCTCTGGTGGCTGCAGGGCAACTGATTGCACTATGACTGCAGATATTGATATTCAAGGTTACTGTGGAGCTTTAGAGAGGGGAATGGCAATAGGGCAAGCTAAAATGTCATTAAGCTTGCTGTTTTTACCACGATTCAGCATTTTTCTTGGATAAGCACTCCCTGAATTGCTGTAAGCCTTTGGTTAATTTTCAGAGTTCTGAAAAAGTGATCCTGACCATTTTTACCGTATTTCTCATTCGTTCTAAAGAGGGAGTTTTTGAAGTCCTTTTTTTAGCTGACATAACCTCGAACCATACGTTTTAAGATTTCTTTTAGGAAACCTTCCAGATGGATTAAGCCTTCACTCTACCCTTCATGGACTTGGCACTGTGAGAAATGCCAGGGCTGTGAAGGGGAGTGAGGTATGGTGCAAGGTGCTCTCAAGGAAGCTCATGAATTGGTTTTCTGTCATGTGGAAGCAGGTTGGGGGGTATCTAGCAGATGTTAGGAGAGAAAAAGGAATATTTATGTTGTTTCTTTGGAGATGTGTACCTGCTGGTGAATTCTGTAGGTTTTCTGTGCCTGGAACCTTTTTCTTGTACTTGTTCATCATTCAGCTTGAATGTCATTTCCACAGACAGGACTTGTAGACTTACCCTACCTAAAGACACTTTCCCTAGTTTTGCCCCAGTGCTGCTCTGGCTCATCTTACTCCTTATTTCCTTCATTCACATGATTATTTATTTATTAGTGTATTTATTTATTTATCCTCCACTGCCTTCACCAGAACATAATCTCTCCAACAACAGCAACAATGCCTGTTGTGCTCTCTATCGTATCTCCAACTGCCTAGAACCAAAAAATTACTCAACAGATATTTTCTGAATGAACTTAATGAACAAATATAAGGATATATTTTTAAGAGATGAGTGTCTTGGTCTAGCCTTCATTTGCAGCTCTGTCTCCTATCCCATTAAACAGTTCAGAGGACATGAGTGTTTTATGTAAAGAAGTTTTGACAATTTTCTGCACTGAATTTTTGAGTTAGCAGAACCCTAGCCTCAGCCAATATCTAATCAGTAATATGGGACGCTGAGTCATTTCAAACCCAAGAATCCATATGAGTGGTAATGAATGCTAGCATTTCTCAGAGTTTTGAGTTCTGTAAAGCATTTTCTTGCCTAACATTTTATTTTATCCTTTGATCTTCAGTGCAACCTACATTATCATGTCATGGAGAAGCTGATAAAAAATATTTTACTTTGATACAGAGTTTTGGGGTATAATTCCTAGAAATTAGTCATTTAGTTTTAACTTTGAATTTATAAATTACAACATACTATTTCAATAGCTTGTCATAACCTCAGAAACACAGTATAAGAACTGAGATCAGATTTCCTGGGTTTAAATCCCCCATCCTTATTTAATTTACCAAATTTTTGAAGCCTGTTTTCTCTTTGGAATAATGGCAAAATAAGAATGCCCATCTCATGGAATTATTAGGAGACTATCTACACTAATAAAAGAGAAACATGCAAATTAGCCATCACTCCATCACTCCACTATACCCACCAGCCAATCAGAGCAACTATGCAAATTAACCCAACTAAGATGGTGGTTAATTTGCATATGCAGGCGCAGAGCGAAGACTGAAGGCAACTGAAGATGGTGGCAGCCACAGAGCTGGAGAGAGCAGGAGGCTTGGGTTGCTCCCGGCGATGGAGGAAGCTAAGCTTCCCGCTGGTCCTGGACTCCGCTCAAGGAGTGGCTGGGGGCCTGGGTCGCCAGGGGCAACCCAGGCTTCCAGGCCGCCCTGGGCTCCACTCAAGGAGGGGCTTGGGGCCTGGGTCGTAGGGAGCCTGGGTCACTGGGGGCGATGCAGACCTCCAGCCCACCCTGGGCTCTGCTCGAGGATCTGGGAAAAAAAAATAAGGGCTAAGAGCAGCAGGAGTGGAGAAGCCAAGCCTTGCTGCTGCGGCCACAGCGGAGAAGCCAAGCCTCGCTCCTGCGGCCAGACCAAGGGCCTTGGTCCCAGGTGCCGGAGGAAAACCGGTACCGCAGCCAGGGGAAGGAAGGCCTATTGCGCGAATCTTCATGCAACGGGCCACTAGTCTATATATTTAAAACCCTAATATGCAAATGGACCAAACGGTGGAACAACTGAACAACGGGTTGCTATGACGTGTGCTGATCACCAGGAGGTGTGCGCGGAACATGGCAGGCATCAACTGTGGCAGGATGGTGGAGCAGGTGAATGGGGGTGCCAGACCAACGCAGGGCACTGGTTGCTGTCATCGGGGTGAGCCTCTGGTAGTTACTGAAAATTCTTTGCTCCT